GTAATTCAAATGACTAAATCAGCTAAACTATATTATGTCTTCACAATGTTATTTTAATAGTCACATTTATAATATTTATAATGTTAGTGTTATAGCCACATTTAGGGGGCGACCGTGGCGCATGGAGTAGTGAGGGCGCACCGGTAACCGCAGGGTTGATTTGAACTCCGGCTGCTCCACGTCCCGAACCTCTAACTGCTGCCAGGCGCCTTCAAGGCAGCACACTGCTCCCACTGCGGGACGAGTTCTATGCAGAGAATAATTACCCCATAGGAATCAATGATGGATACTTTGTTCTTATTGCCCTTGTAGCAACAGTGTTCATTAGGAAGGTAATTAGTACTCGTATAATAATCACGACACGTTTATGTATATTGAACGTTTGAAATCAAATGTAACAAAATGCTCCACAAGGCAATAAAGCCAAGATAAAGGAAGCAAAATTACCTTAAGATATCTATTCAAAGATGCAATTAGGAACAACTTGTCAGAACCAGAACCCTACATTTGGATTAATTAGCATTCTTTTATGAGGTTTGATTTGCCTGTTTGGATAAGCACATGAAATGCTGTACTATCATTATATTATACTATTTCTCCAACACATTTTCACAATGTGAGAGAGCTGGGGCAAACTTTTGAGTTGAGTTTTGTTTTGAAAAAATGTTCACTGAGCTCATTCACTTTCGAGAATGAAATGTCTCTATAAAAAAAAGGTTACAGTAATAAAACATGTTCATTTAAATAGCATTCTTCCACATGAAAATGTCAGTGCTGATTCCCAAGATATTTAGGGCATTTAGCCTCTCACTGAAAGGATCAAAACCCACGTGGCAGAACCACAAGTATCCCATTCGCACTCCATATATTCTCCTTCTGCAACCTCCAATTTATAAGTGTCTTGGACTGAAAGCCACCGGAAGGGAACTCCTCTGGTTACGAAAAGAAGTCTGTATGGAAGTCTATGAGAATATGTCACTTCATTTATTCCCTCAGTAAACATTTCAAACCCTTTGTGGTCTCCATCTCTCGTTTCAGGTCTTCTTTAATACAGATGTTGTTCATCAATAACGAGACAAAGCATCAGCCATCAGTGTTTCATCCTGTTGCATCTCCAGAAAATGTCATTAGCTTGTCCATCCATCCATTGTCAAACCGCTTATCCTGCACACAGGGTCGCGGGGGGGCTGGAGTCCATCCCAGCCAACTTCGGGCGATAGACAGGGTACATCCTGGATTGGTCGCCAGCCAATCGCAGGGCTACACAGAGACATACAACCATTCACACATCTACGGGCAATTTAAAGTCCCCAATCAACCTGATCCCCAGAGCATGTCTTTGGACTGTGGGAGGAAGCCGGAGAACCCGGAGAGAACCCACGCAGACACGGGGAGAACATGCAGACTCCACACAGAAAGGCCACTGGTCAGAATCAAACCCAGGACCTTTTTGCTGTGAGGCAACAGTGCTAACCACCACGCCACCGTGCCGTCATTAGCTAGTTCCTAATAATATTTAACATCTTATATAAGTCAAAGAGGGCGTGATCAACTCTTCAACAGTGACTCGCAGGCAAAACAACGCGTCACTGTTTAGTGGCTCTTGTCATTTGAAGTGTAAACTCAACACTGACGGATTTTTCTACTAGTAGTCCAGTCTTTGCATCTTTAAAGGCACTTTGTCCCATTCTCTTCTGCTCCCACCTCAGGAGGTATAAAGCCTTTGTCATGTAAACTCGTCAAAGTTCCTGTTTAAACAAACTTCAGAATAAAAATAATTGCCTAACCCTAACCAATGAGCTGTGTGCAAACGAAGAGAACCCACATACAAGATGCTCAATCCCTGACTGGCCCCTGACAAACAGAAAACGGAGAGGTTACAAGTACTCTGTATTTTCAGCGCAAAACACCCCTGACGTTTCTTTTCATGCCGCCGCAAGTAATGAGGCAACCTGCCTTGTAAATTATGTCCAATTACAGGTATTAAATCACATCAAAAATCTTTCACGTGACTATAATTGTTATCACCTTAGCTGCATAAAACTCACTCACTCAATCGCAGAATTTGAGGCACGAAACTGGAGGTGGATGCTATTTCCCCGACGTCCTGCAAGGGCAGGTGGTACTATGGATGAAGGTCAACCTTCTATCTATTAATGCATCTCTCAAAAGAGGGCAATGACATAGAAGTACAGTACTAATTCTCTCTGATGCCTCTTTAATACCCAATAGCAAACATGTTGTACTGCTATTTCTGCACCATGTGAGAGCTGCATTATAATATTGAGCTGCTGTTAAGACAGCAGACAGTTGTCCCCTTCCCCGGGCAGACGGGCTGCGTGGCATCCTGCCGCGCCAGACAGTGAAATAATGTGCAGTCCCCAAATGAGGGAAGAGGGGAAGGAGAAGGGGTGGGGGGGGGGGGGTTGTCTACGGCCAGACGGCTGGGTGGAGTCAACTTGCCACTTGGGCTGCTTGTCATGCACAGCTGCTTCAGACTGTTTTTCTCGACTCACGTCTCCTTGATTCAAAGTCAATGGCAGCAGCAACACTCCTACAGGCAGCCGAGAGATGTGAAACGCTCCGAGCTGCGAGGGAAGATCTTGTTTTCATAACAAATGTATAATAAAATAAAATATGGTGTGCAAATGACGATGTTCCGTCTCGCCTGAGATGGAGGTGCGGTACGTTTTTGTGAAGCATCACGTGCGAGTGGGAGGGAAATGTCTTTTTTTCTTTCTCATGCTTGGAAGTCCACGGCTCATTTCCCTAATGCAAATGAGTGCTGCGAGCAAAAACAGAGGAAGCAGATGCTATTGGAAGGCTGACGGCTCTGTGTGGAAAATGTTGTGCGACTGGCGCTGAGCGAGCACAGTCTCCCAGTGTGTGCCGCTGAGGGGAAAGAGGGAGTGAGCCGGGGAGACGGTTGGGGCGGGGATTTCCTTTTCTTTAATGCCAGCTTTGGCATTGAAGGGGTTCTCTCAGAGAAGTATGTCACCTCCGGCGAGGGTCTTCCACCAGGGCTACCAAACTGTCAACATTGATGACAATGTCACTCACCGCGTTCGCCAAGCGGGCAGCGAGGACGATTGGTGCCACCGCAGGTTGCAGCCGGCGAGTGTGAGCTTGTGATCTGAAGGTGTTATTTGGGGAAATACAGAGCTCTTTTGAATCTGAACGTTGACACACGGGCAAAGACGGAACCTCCAAAGCGAGGGACTGGTGGACACTTAGCATCTAAGAACTCCATGCAGCCGACTGCCATCCTCCAGCAGTCCTTGTGGTTACGTAAGCTCCAGATATATAAAAATACTTTCTTTTTTTCACTGTGAAAGAAGAGGCAAGCTGTGAGCGAGGACAGAATGAGAGCACCTTGTTCCTTTTATATTTTATGCACCAACGAGGTCCCCGTCCGGTGCCTGTGATCTCCAACAGTAGACCCATTTCAAACACGTGCACACTGTGGGAAGAGTGTGCCGCAGTAACCTCACACTCAGGATAAGACCAGGGAGGGAGAATCTGGAACGCTGGTTTCCCTACTTGCTTTCAGTTGGTTCCAAGTCAAGGATGACTGAGTAAATTAATTCGACTTCTATCCCTTGAACCGAGGCCACACGGGGCTCCGCACTCACAGAGCATTTAAAAAAGAGGGGTTTCTTTTATGAGCAATGCAAGTTTTTAGTAGTACATAAAGGCTTTGAAAAGCATTATGTTAGACAAGGGTGAAGGTGCAGTCACACAAGCAGCCAAGACACAACGTATCATTCAAAGGTTTAACCCAAAAAGGGGCGGGTTCACAAATGTGTGACAGATGTATGGTGATGTAGGCGCACACCTATCGTTCCTGTCGCATGACCTCACCTTTAGTGACAGTTTTCCAGGAGGTTGAAGGAATTAAAATGTCAAATAACCATGTGCGGTTAAATGCGACTGGTGTCACTCTGAAGGATGAGACGTTTTTATAGACACAAACAGGCGGAGTGGAGGGAGTTTGGCTCATCTGTGTTTGATGACTGTGGTGCTGATCACAAGAGCACGTCTGCTGTTTTCCTGTAGAGCCCATAGAGCTCCTGGAGGGGAGCTCCTAAACAGCCTTTATTCTAAAATAACACATCTCTCATTGAAATTACTTAAGCTTGAGCTAGTTGAGCATTTCATTTTAATGCCTTTCACAGCAGAATATACTGATATATTTTTGTGAAATTAATTTTAAGTTCTCTCTGCCGGATGAAAGTGGATGACTGGCTCAGCTCTGGTAACAAATATTCAGCATATACTCCACTACATTTATCTCTGCTGTAGTTTTTAGCTATATCCAAATTAAGAATTTGCATAAAAAATGCTATGTATATGAAATACAATACAATTTCAAATCCCGTTACAAATACTGCTGTCAGAGCGATGACAATATTTGTATTTATTTATATTTCAATTTTTTCTCAATTTGTTACACATAACTGTACCCATGTGCTCTTACCTGTTAATCCTACAGTTTCATCCACCTCCTCGGTCTTGATCTGATCTAATTGCCATCTCTGTAAACTTTGAATGAGTCTTATTGTGGCCGACTACCCTGAGAGGACAACTGAACATTGACTTAAACTAATCCTCGTGCAGCTGGCACAAGGTCTGCTGCCCAAACTCGTTTAAACGAACTCGTCCCTCTCGTACTAACAGCAGTAGTTATCGTGTTATCAGGTGTCCTTGAGCAAGGCACTTTGAGCAAGCGCGGCCTCCTCCACAACCACCTCAGGTCCAAGAGATGAGCAGATGAGCGCTTTCCCGCGCGAGGAGCGGCACATGGGCGTCACGTGACAGCGTCACCTACAACAGGTTAAAAACACCCCCGAGCCGCGTGCGTCCTCTGTCTGGAAAAAAAAAAGCCAGATGTTCGGAGCCGTCGCACGAGGCACAGGTACGTCGCAGCCAATGGGCGCGCGCGGGGGGGGAGGGGCTCAGCAGCGAGGGGGCGGTCCGTCCCGGCGCAGACACGCCGCACACCTTCAGATGGAGATGAAGTAGCAGCAGCGCACCGACAGAGCGACAACAGCGTGTCCGCGGCCGCACATCCGAAGGGTTTTTTTTGTCTTCAGGTGGGGGAACAGGTGACGCGCCGACCGACCTTCTCTGCCGCCTCGACGTGCATCGGTGGGAATCACCGCGGTCCCGACTCCACCACCCCTCCTCCTCCCCCCCCGCCACCCCCTCAGTAGATACCCCTCAACTGCATGCATTTCGAGCCGATCATTTTAAGCTCAGTCCGCCAAGATGGAAAATGCGCACACTAAATCGGCGGGCGAAGTTTTAGACAACTTCGGCGTAAACGAAAACACCGGGCTGACCGTGGAGCAAGTCAAAGTCAACGTTGAGAGATACGGACCGAATGGTGAGTGGAAGTCCTTTTTGTCTCTCTTCATCCTGGTTTCAGGTCAAAGCTGCCTGCGCGTATCGATTGCTGTTGTCAGGAAATCCAACCGCGGCCGTTGTGTTGCAGTCTGCGAATCATGCGCGTAAAAAAACCCCAAAACCAAATAAACGCAACCTGTTCCCTCTTACGCACAGTCGGGTATGTTGGTGGTGAATTCATTGATGCATCGTTCATTTTTTATATCCGTTAAAGTTAGAGACACATCTGGGGGAGGGCATACATCGACGCAAACAGACCACGGTAGGCTTATTAGGATCAATTGATTTAATCCTATTATAATAGTAATTCGACTTATTTTTGTGGTTCAGCTCCCTGTGCTCCCCTTGTGTCATTTCTCCTTTTTAAACTGCAATTGGCATCGTGAAGCCCCCCCCCCCCCCAGATCTAAGGTGTTGACAGGGTAGTGAGGCATCAGGAAGTGGAAGAGGATGTGGCCTGAGAATGAAACGGGCCTGAAAGACTTGTTTTCACTTTCAACAGTTCCCCGACACATGGCGTACAGATCCAGGTTCAAATTACAGGACGGTGAGGAGAATAGGATGCCAATGTCGAGTCATTTAACATTTTTCGAGCGATAAAGATCAGTGCAAGTAAAGTTACTGTAAAGCAGGTGGCTTTCAGGTGAGAATAAAGCCTCCTTTGAGCATTCTGGGGCAGCAGCTCTCACACACAGCAGCCCCCCCCCCTTTATGATCAATAAGTGTTTTTGTGCCACCTGACATCACCACACCTATCCCCCCCCGGCCTGTCATTTGCATGTGTGGCCAAGCTGCCGGTCAAACAGTAGCCCTATTGTTGCAGCCAGCCACCCTAACGGGGCCTGTGATGACTTCATGGAAACAGAGCAGCGTCTTGCCTCAGATAACATCTCTTTCGCTTATAGCTGTGAACTTCCTGTCTGCCTTGTGCACAGCACATTGCAGATGCATGCTGGAGGGGAGGGAATGCCCCCCCTCTTTATTTCAAATTTTTTTTGCCCTCTGACGGTTATTCACTATAGCTGTTCATCCACAAGCCAAAAAGAGTGGAATAAACTGCATGAAATTCGGGTTGGTGGATCATTCTAGTACGCGTTGTCGCGGGGTGATCCACGGCTGCTCAGCGGCTCGTTCCCCTCCGGCTCTCTAACCGCAGACCTCGTGTCTTCTGCGGGGCGTCCGCTTCAGAGCTGCTCGTGGGCGTGGTGCTTACTTCCCTGGGCGCACAATGTTTCATTCACGTAAGGCGTAGCTAAGCAGGGTCTCATCTTTAACCTAAATCAACATGTCCACAGATAAACATCTCCACTGTGCATCGCACGAAGCCTGTCAACGTCTCAGTAGGGGCACGATAAGGCGTCGTGTCCGATGGAAGAGGACCCACGTGATGTGTCGTTCTCAGGCGTGAGGCTCATACGTGACAATCCTGGTTGTCTGTTTTAACACGCTCGGTGGAAGCCCAGCTATCTGGAATGGATGAGCGGCTCCTGAAGACATCACATACCTTTCTGATTGCTGTTATTGACCCACTCAACCCCACAATCAACATACTCGCCTCATTGCTTCTGTAAAAAACTTGGGAGTAGAAAAGCGGTCTGGTGTATCTGCTGTGGTTCACGGCTTTTGTGTATATGGGAACATCCGTCCAAACTCAAAGCTACCTACTTTTGTTTGTCTCCTTTTTTAAAGTCAGAATGGCTCGAGTCCTTCCATTTACTTACCTCATTGGTGGGTATTCATTTCACACGCTTAAAGGTATAGACGCTTGGGCTTTATGATTCTTCTAGTTTACTAGGAAGTGCATAAAATGTTGCCTGTTGCTATAAATAAAGATCTGCCTGTTCTGGCTTGCCGGCTTCGTCAGTACTGAGCGGCGTCCGGGTTTCTGATCCCTCTCTGAGATGTAAATTAGCTTAGGCTGCCACATCTGGACCATCTTTAACTAAAGCCTAACTAACTAACTTAAGCCCTCTGCGCTGGCAGCACATAACTTTTTATTCACACCTTTCATTTGGAGTTCGGCAAATTCACTTTCGGAACTACAAGCAGCATCATTTTTACAAGGCCGTTTATCAACTTCATTTTGAAAAAGATGGTTCCGTTGTAATGGGAGAAGTCGCAGGCCTCTCTCTCTCTCTCTCTCTCTCTCTGTGAGTGTGTGTGGGTGCATCAATAATGTCTGGGGAGTTGCGGCTTGTGGTGTTTGATAATTGTGTCCTGTGCAGTTGCAACCCAAATTAATAAAGCCCACTCCTTTGACTTTCAGGGAGGACATATTGTCCTCATGAGCAATCCACCTGGATTGACCTCACCAGCAATTTTCAAAGTTGCTGGCGAAAAGGTGGGAGGGAGCGTGTTTCATTTGTTGATCCCTCCTTTTTCACTTTCCTGCTTTGTCAGACCTTGAAATATTGAAGTGAAGTATCGTTGATGATTGATGAACGAAGAGCATTCGAGGTTGCGAAATGTTCTCTTTGACACTCTTTTCAGGAGAACGAGTGTAATTGCACAACGTGTTCTGGTTAAACAACCCAGCGGTGCATCATGAGGTTGCACCATTACGATACGGTGCGCAATGATTGTCTTTGATACTGCTGAAAGCCATCAATCTGCACCCCACTCCACCTCTTCATCCGTAGTGCACCTTGCAGAAAAGCTCCACCAAGCTCCTGTCCAACCCAGAGACAATAGGCAATTTGTTTTATTCCATTGTTAGATGGCGTGTGGGCTTGTTTTCCAGAATAAATGTGTTGTTCGCTTATCAGTCGCCAAAGCGATCCTGCAGAGAGTGTGTGACGTTAATAACTGCCCTTTCCTCACACTGCTTTCTGCCACGAATAATGATTACTACAACCTCCTCTTGCGGGACCCCAGGCGTCGTTTCTCTTCCTCCTCTGCAACTTGACTTACTCGCTCCGGCTTTTGAAATACGAGCGTCATTCTGTCGTTCCCTCCTCCTCCTCCTCCACACGACATCCTAGTTGCACATTACATCTCAACTCGACCTCCACGGTCACTCGATTCTGTTCTGGTCCCCGTTGGGAGTCGAACTGTGGCGGCGAGCAGCAGGGTCGGCGTTTTTGTGTGGGGTAGAGTTAAGTTGTAAAAAAGTAATTTGAAGTCTTCCGGGTGTTGAGTCATTTCCCTGTAGTGGGCTCAGTGTGTGCGCGCCTGCCCAGCCGCCTTCAAAGGAGCTGTGATCCTGTTCTAGCTTGTCACTCGTCTTGCCCGCTTCCCTCCCACCTCTGCATCTGTCAGTCACCATCATCGTGCCATAAGGGCCCGGTGACGTGGTCGCCATCCCAGCCGGGCCCAGGTGCAGACCAAAGAGGGGTTCTGGGTTTTAGGAGAGGAAAATGACAAGAAGAGACACACAAACAATGTTTGTTTTTTTTACGTTCTGTATTTCAGTGTGAATACTTCACCATGTAGTCAGTCCAAACTTTGTAGTTTAATATCCATATTCTTAAAAGCAGTGCCTGTTTTAAGAGGACTCCCGGACTAAGATGCCACTAAATTGGTTATGTAACAAAAATGTATTGTGACTTTGAAATATTCAAAATAACAAGTCTAAAAAAATGTTTTATCAAGTCCCGTTGTTTTCCCGTTGTTAAGCCAAGCAAAAAAAGTCCTTGTCTCTTAACACTTTCCAACTTCCACACATTGTCGGTGATTCTTAGCGGCCCTGCTCATTAGCGCCTACGGAAGACGTAATGCTCTCAAAATGGGTCAAAACAGCTGGACACTTGTGAGCGAACGCTCAAACAACGAGAGGCTCACTGAGTGTTTTCATTTATGGCACAGCGCTATATATGTGTCAGACTTTAGGTACACGATACGTTAGAAGGATCAATTCCTTGTAGGTCTTTTTATGGGATGCTCAACGAGTGGGTCGTGAAAGGTCACACCATCCTTTACGTGGTTTATTGTCTATTGTTAGTGGGTGGCAGTGTTTTTTATTGCCATGTTGAGAATTGGCAGTTTTAAAATCAGCCGTAGTTTGACTGTCCTCCATTGCTGCAAGACTCAGATTGGCAACGTCGCACGATACCAGGGATTTGATTGAACATCAGTGTCCCTCTGGTTTTCAAACCTCAAATAAAACCCTAAAAATAGCATAATGGCAACACACATATTTCAGCCTGCCGTTTGGAGGAGGAGGGGGCGCGATCACCGACTATTCCGCTTCTCTCATTGGCTGGTAGGCCTCCGCGCTGCTCTCCTCCCTGCTAGCCTGTTGGGATGTTGGAAGAAAACGGTTCTTTGCGCAGCTGTGAACTTAAAGAGGAAGCTCTGAGGAGATATGAGCTCTGTACTCGTGTCACCTCGTGCGTGTCCTTGTCGGTTGACAGGCCCTGTTGCTTTTGCCTCTGTAACTCGCCAGCACAACCGCAGTATGACAACCTTCCTACTGCTAAAATCGTGTCGTGTGCTTCAGAGTATTTATTCAAACCTGAATGCGATGCACAACAAGCAGTATACTGCGGGTGTGCAGTTTCTTATCAGTGACAAATCTATTTCAAGATAAATTAGTAGTGAGATCCGGTTTGTGAAAATATGCATATCAGTCAAAAGTTTGGACACATTTTATCATTCAACTCAATGGAAAGGTATGTTCAAACATTTGTCTGCTACTGCACGTAGCACCCAATACTCTAACAGGAAGAACCTTTAATCTTAAAGCGTTTCAGAGAGCAGCCTCACAAATGCTGCTTTGACAGTTGATGTCATTTCTTTGTCCTTCTCTGTCCTTCCAGCATGGACAGAAGTGCAGGGTGATCCCCTCCACTTTTGTCCTTTATACCGTGCGTTGTCACATAATGATTTGATTCTATGAAATTAAGCTATCATTTCCTTTTTTTTGTCAAGAGAATGCAACACAATGCTAACGTTATGTCCGCTTGGGAGTCTGGTCGGCAGGTTTGAAATATTTGCCTGAAGGTTAGTTGGGAAAACGTAGTTGCAGCTCGAGGCTCATCCTGTTATATATTATCCTATCCTGTTATAAATATATTGGATTTGAAATGCTTTTTAACTCGTGCATAACTTCGTATTACAAAATCGGTGATAAATAACCTTAAACCTGGTCTACAGGGCTACATCCGTCCCCGAATTTTAACCTCTCTGAAGTCAGTGTGCATAAATCAAATTGCATCTTTGTTATACGTCAATAGTGTTTCATTTAAATGATTAACTCAATTTCTGTTGATTAAAACATATCTTGTCATTGGTGGTTTTAGTGCTATATTATGAGGAGCCTCGTATAAACTTTAAGTTGCTATTCTTCAAACAAGTATTGTTTCTTCACACAAAAGTTATTGAGTAAGTTGTCTTCCGTTTCTTGTATTTTGAGTGCAGCCACTTTAATCCAGCGTGAGGGGTTTCCCTGCATTTAATAACTGGACTGTAGCTGCATGCTGTTAAGCTGCAGAGGAATGATTAGCAACTAGTTAGTACCACTTCCTCCTTTGCTCCGGATCCTCTGGGTTGGTATTCAGAAGTCGGCGGGGCTCCGGAAGATAGACGCTGACACTCACCCACTTGACATGCCTGAGTAGGACTTCCTCAGGGAAGGGAAGCCTTCCGGGCATCAAACATTGACTCGGCCAGCAGACTGCAGATGTCTCTTCCGCAACTTGGCAGCTAAGATAATAAAGTTAGGGAGGTAGAAGGGGGTGCGTTTATAATTCCCATTCGATTTGGTTAATGCATTCAGACCTTCCGTTGAGAGACTGCATTAGGAGGGTGAGCGGACATAGGGAGCTATAGTAGACGTCATTAGGGGTTTCCATCACGGTATTTATAGGTCTGCTTCGCATTCCCCTGGTCAGCAGATGAAGCTGTGGCCACTTACTGAAGTTTTTACATCCATGCACCTACTCTGCCTATGACTCCCTGCTCAAACTTCGTTTGACTTCGTTTGAGCACTGCTTGCGTCCTTGCTACCAGTCCTGCTGTGTGTGTATAGTGTGTGTATTAGCAGCCTGCTTGGACTCGGGACATCTGTTGTTAAAGCTCAGATAGTTTGCAGATAGATAAATGGGCCAGTTTGCTACTTTTCTTCCTGACCACCTGGAAACAGAAACCTGTTGGCAACCGTCTCCGGGACCCTGTTCCTCATGCGCGGTTCAACTAAGTCGTTCAAATGTCCTTAGCCAGCTTAAATTAACCCGATGATTTAAGTCAAACTATCAAAGTCTGACCTGCGCTCAAACGATCTGTTGTTGAACCAGACCTCAGGAATCAGGATAATTGTTCTTGCCCATCTTACTCCAAAGGGGGGGACGAGTCGATCACCGAAACAACGCTTTCCTTACTGTACAACGGCAAAGAAACTCTTATGTCCCTCTGCTGACGAGCAGGAGATGATGATGATGATGAATGCATATGAGGAATTCTAGACCATAATCATGGCAAAATCTAACCGCCACCACTGCAAGGGCTGGACAACAAGCACGGCAAAATATGGCAGACAAGTTAAATGCGAGAAGTTAAGTGTTGGGAAAACGCCCCACCAGCCCAATCAATCAGATTACATTTCTTTTTAAATGTTATCCGGCCAGATACAAGGAATAGGGCCCTGGAAGTGTCTCCCCTCAGCAAATAAACAAGTGCGTTCATTGTATGGGCTGGAAGCAGGGAGGGAGAGGTGAAGTCAGAATTCAGGCACGTGTCTGGGCAAGCCTCTGGTTGGCACAGCCCAGATGAGCGTGAGGGAATCCTTGGCGGAGGGAAGCCGGGGAAACCCACTCGACACCTCCCCCCCCCCCCTCAGTCCGTCTGTGTCTCCAGCATTCCCGTCACAGCATGCCTGCCTGCCATATAAAGCGTTTATACAACCAGGGCGGCTCGTAATTGGGGGGGAAAAAAGGCTCATGGTCAGTCTGGTGGAGCATGGGGGAAAAAAAAAACCAGGCAGAGTTCACCCAGGATTCCCCCGCCAGTTCAACCGTGTCCAACTCTGATAAGTCTCCAGACAGCGAGTTTGCAAAGCTCTCCACAATTACCCCCCGGCTAAGATTACGCAGGCGGGGAACGGCTGTTCACGGCCCCTTTTCTGCACAATGCTCAGTCTCCCCAAGAAGGAAGGGAAAGTTACGAACCAAATTAGGAGAAGTTATTTCACCTGAAACACTTTTTCATCTCCTTCAGGCGTAACCCCCAGATGGCCCTCGCCGTCTTTTGGACACATAAAAGCCGTGGAGCGGCTCCAGAAGTCATTATGCGATCCGGGCGGCCGTTCTCTCCGCAGTGTCACGATTGATGCTGGCGTGGTCTGGACGAAGGCAACTCTTCCACAAAGATATTATTGGTACTCTAGCAGTACCAGTATCATTTTTTGAGGCTTGCTGGTGAACTATATAAGGACCTGACAAACGCAGTGACTAAGCACGTCCCACTCAACCAGCAGCACCTTTTTCTTATTTCTTTTTTAGAGCATGACTGATGTGTTTTCTACTCGCACTAGTGACTCATGTGTGGAGGGTGTTGTGTTCTTGCAATCTAACTGAGGCTGCTCAGCTTGGCCCCCGCCTGCTTCTACCAAGAAATACAGCTTTTCCTTTCAAATGACTAATAAAAAATGACAAGAGGTGAAAGAAACATGTTTTCATTCCAACATTTTGATTGTGGGTTTTTTTTGTAAATATTTTCTTTGTCTTTTTTAATATTCAACTAAATGTAAAAAAGGTTTTTGACAGACAACATGGTTATGCCAACAAGGCCCAGTTTTGTACAGAACTGAAACTGCCCTAATTACATAATTAATAGAAAGATAAGTTGTGTTACAAAGAAATATGATCAAACTTAATGTGAACTACCCCGTCTTCTGTGGGCCCGAAGCCGCACTAAAACTACTACACGCAGAATTTGATACATCCTGGGAGTCCATGAAGCATAATTTGTCTCAAAAGCACATCCTGGTAGTTATTAATGTCTGCAAAGAAGCAACAGCAAAGCATCATCCGACAGTGTGGCTGCTCTGATCATTTTCAGAACCTTTTCAAAATGTTCTTTGTGTTCATGCATCTTGAAGTTGGACTGAGCTCAAATGTATTAACTGCTCTTTCTCCTTCACCCCCCCACCCCTCCCATTCCACCGTCTCCATTTGAATCCTTCACAACCGACATGGTGTGACACCCTCAGAGCTCCCGGCTGAAGAAGGTAAATATTGATTTTTCCAGTGCACTTAAGATCTGCCTCCATTTTATACGAGCTGATTAAGTGTCTTGAGTATCTTAAGCATCTTTTCTTCTCTGTAGACCAAGGGCTAGCCTTTAGGAGTGTACACGAGCCCAGGTTTCTGAAACGGTGAACACTCACCACTACTCTGTAAATATGGGGTTGTCTTTACAACTGAATATACGGTTAATACATCTCACGGAAATTTTTCCACCCTAAAGTATAAAGGTCCACTTTGTGTCCTGACAAATGGAATCCTTTAAACATTAACATGCATAAAGTTCTGTGTGTGTGTGTGATGTGTTTTTGTCCATACATATTTCAGGCAAGTCCCTATGGGAGCTGGTGGCGGAGCAGTTTGAAGACCTCATGGTCCGGATCCTGCTGCTGGCTGCCTGCGTCTCCTTTGTAAGTACGACCCAGCTAATTAAAAAACCCTGTTGGCCTTTCTCTTTATCAGTTTGTGATCTTGATTCTCTGATCAACCCTGTAGAAAATGAGAGGCAAAATTGGAAACTTTCCGGGAAGTTGCCACCTGATGGGCTCGCTCCATTAGCTTGAGGCGGGTTTCATTCCTCCGTCGGAACACCGCTCTACCTCGTCTTGGTCTCCTTTCATGTGTAAAACCTGTGCATCGCATGCTTCACTACCCGGTGTGTTGGTACGACTTCAGTGAGGAGAAACGGGGCGGCGCACTTAAGCCGGGCTGGAAACAAAACTATTAATCAAGGCACTGCACTGCAGCGACCCCGGTTGCGGCCCGAGGGTGCTGGAGCTTTGAGTTGTGGAGGCTCCATCTATTACAGCAAGTCCCGGATGGAATTGCCGTTGCTATTTCTGAAAGTAGGAAAAGTGGAGACCGAATATGACGCGACACCTCTCTTCCAACCGCTGTCGTTTCTGGCAGGTATGGGCTGTAAGTGCACGGCTTTGGAGTGCTGGCTCGACTTTTCTTCATGTAAATCAGGCTTTAAAAGGTTGTTTGTAGTGGAACACAGTCCTGTGTGTGTGCGTGTGCGTGCGCGTGCGTGTGCGTGTGCCACGACATCGCTGCCTGGAGTGGTTTCAGCTCAGTGACTACACCGAGCTTCCCTGTTACCTGACCCCAAATCACAACACCCCCGAGCAGCTATTCTTCATGACGCTCAGGCTTTTACTGGTTATACTGCAGTGTTCTTTAACATTTTGACTTTGCTATTTGATCACTTTTGTTCATCATCAGGGAGTGGCAAACGTAGAGAGAACTGGAGTGAACCTGAACCAGGGACTCATTTGGCTATGGTTTTGAATATATTCAAAGTTTGCTGCTGAAACTCTTCTGCCTCCTTTGCATGACACAATGGTGGCGCTTCAGACAAAAAAGAGCAGGTTAGGCGAATTTATGATGTGGAACACCATTTCATTTCCAGCAATCTGGGATTCACTAAAATCGGTGAGCTGCATATCATCAATGGTGCATCAATTTATCAAACTCTTCTAATTATTTCCTTTTTATAAATGATCTATTGCCATGTTGCTCTCCTGGAGGTTCACTGCGGTAGAGCCACACCACCCGAAACAATCTATGAACCTCCTTTTGAGTTGAAGGGATAAAGAGGGCATGTATTTGGTTTTCCACGTCGAGAACAGGAAGGGACTTTAAAGGACAAGTGACTTTTTGGCCGCCAATTCAATAGGTGACCTTAAAAATGTGTGTGTGTGTGGGGGGGGGGGGGGGCTGTTCATATATATATATTTAAAATGGCCATTTTTTTTTAGTGCAATGTTCCAAAACATTCACTAACAATATGCCAATGCGTCTGTTTGTTTCTCAGCATTGTGGGATGAAGAGGGCAATCTCTCAAAGCTGTAAAAATAGATTTATTTTCGTGATGAAGCTTTTGATTTCAATCAACGTTAAATCAGCTTAAACGTGCCTCGGCGGGCCAAACACAAAGGGAGTTAAATTTCCAACAGATTCCTTTTTGATGAGTCCTGAAGTCCAAATGATTTCCTGCTGGTCTCTCCATTTGAATTGCTATTCAGCGTGAAAGTAGCAGTCAGGTATTCAGACCCCTCTCTGACTGGGCACTGATTGTGTGAAGTGCCTTTTGAGCCGTCCTCACTGAGAGGACTCCAATCGCAGCTCAGTAACTCGGGAGATTTACCGCCTCAAATGATGGGCAATGATGGGCGCTATCGACCGGGCTGTGGCCGAGCTTAGACGCACACCCCGCCGCTCAATACACCTGGAAGACCATATTCTTTGTACCATTTGATGAGCCCCATAGGATTGCATAGCCACCTACTGATCTCCCTATATTTCTCTCTGCAGCTTTGGATTGACAGTATTTTTTGTTTTCAGCTACCAAATAACAAGCAAGCGTCAAAGTTATTTTGGTGTAGCAGCTTTTTTTTTTGTCATGATCCCTCAAAGATGCACTTCATTGCCTATTACAGCAGCTAACAAGGTGGCTGCCATCTCTGACACCTTTGACACCCCCCAAACATTAGTATTCAGCTGCCATCATATTTTATCTGTAAATAAGTAGCAAAAGTATGGAATGATTGTAATGGTATATTTGCCTCCTCAGTGGAGATGCTATTGGAGCCGGGCTACTCATCTATGTGAGATCGAGAGCAATTGTTTTGCCTCTCAGCTCGGCAAAGGCGGAAGCAGCAGCTCAACACCGTATGCTAATGTTGGTCTATGTCTGCTTCATGTGTAAATAGGCAATGTTTGGTAATGTGTGTAAACAAAAAAGAATAAAATATGTTGGTATTTTGCAGGTCATTTCTATATTATATCTCTATATCAATGTAGATAAATAGATGGATAGATATAGATTGTCTATCTATAGATATTCATTGCAGGTTTAAGTGCATTTTGGTCACATTGGTCATAATGGTAGCTTCAGTTCTTGACATGACTACTGGTCGAGTTGATTTGTTTTGTGTCTTAAAACGGCTGAATAAGCGTTAACAACCAAACCGTGTAATTTGTAGATATTTTGTAGGATGAATGAATAATATGTAACCAACCTCATGTCCTGAGGCTGAAGTCCAAAAATGAGCTGATTCTAGATCTCGAGGTAGAAACCCCATCTGAGGATACATTGCCTGATGTTGTCTCACGTATTTCATTCTGAATGTTAATTAATGTTAAATATAAACATTTTTTATATTTTAAAGCAGGTATATTTAACTAGAAATGAATCCAAAATATTTGTTCATCTTTTCAAATTGTTGTGGCTTCCAGCCTCACTATTTCATCTGTCGACTGTTTGAAGCCTCACGTCCTGGAACACGGTCATCCGAATAGACGCTGCACCACAGAGTAGATCTCACACGATCCTTATGTAAATCTGAATTTGTGTGTGATTTTCCTACCGTCCATGAGCTTTGGTGGGTGGTCACACAATTGGCTCATTAAGAGTGATCCCTCAGATTTGTATGTCCCCCACTAATTTAGTTCCTGCAGGACTTCATTTGTTTTTCAGATAAAGCAACCTTTCAACCTCTTTTTTCTATTCTGAATATATATAATAACTTTTCCAGCATCAGTAAATAACTCAAAATAGATAAATGCATATCAGAAGCGTTAGAACTGCATACATTAATTGTACTTCTTTTCATGTATGTGTTTTTTGTTCCCTGCTGGATGTATGTCATCTTGACATTTCGTGTTTGGTCATTGTGTTATTTGAAGCCTCTCAACTGTATCTCAGGGTAAAAACATACATGCTAAAGGTAAAACACACTCACTGAAACGGGGAGGCAGCTTCTCTATCCTATGACCATTCCAGTTTGTTTTTTTATGTCTAGATTTACCTTATTTATTTTCTTCCAATTAGTTTTTCAGATCACGCCGTTTCAGGAAATATAATTATCATTGAGTTTGAAACGTTAATGCTAATAGTCTACTGTGTGTTCTTCTAGGTGTTGGCTCTGTTTGAGGAGGGAGAGGAGACGGCCACCGCCTTTGTTGAGCCATTTGTTATTCTTCTTATCCTCCTCGCCAATGCTGTTATCGGGGTCTGGCAGGTGAGATGCACTCTTCCTCCTATGTCTCTGTGCAAAGTGCTTACGTGCATGAGGAACGCTTCTTTCTTTCCTCAAGGCGTTCACATAATAGTTGCTAAAAAGGCTGTAAAGTCAAAACAATTCAACTCTGGGGTCTTGCTCCCTGTGTGCTCGGTGTAAAACTGACCCCACGTGCTAACATTCATACGTGCAAGCGACACCTTTGTGGTGGAATAAGGCTGACGAGTCCTTGAGTTAAAACATAAACAAATGCGGCGGGGGGGGGGGACCTCTCCTACGTTGTAAGTTCAAAATTGTCCTCGGCCTGACTCTTACTTTGTCACATCTCCCCATGCAGGAGCGGAATGCCGAGAATGCCATTGAGGCTCTGAAAGAATATGAACCCGAGATGGGGAAGGTGTTCCGCATAAACCGTAAGGCCGTCCAGAGGATCAAAGCCAGAGACATCGTCCCAGGAGACATAGTGGAGGTGGCAGGTAAGACCCTCACCCAGACTCATTTGCACTGTATTTACCGCCGGTGCAATCCCAATGTGGTCCCAGAGCTGCCTGCACGGTGCAGACAACGGCACACACACACGCACACACGCACGGGCCCTTTGCATTAGTCCAGAGTATCGGAATAACTGGATCTAGATCTTTAAGAGTCTTTTCTCTGCATGCCCGGGTGCCAGCACTGAAATCAAGTTGTGTTTGTTTGTGTGTCTGTGAGGTTCTATGTAAGTGGCTGTGGTCACCCCTTGTATTAATGGCCCAGTTGAATTTTCCACAGCCTCCCCCTATACACACACACACACACACACACACATCTCCCTGCTGTAAGCTCGCCCGTGTGTGGGCAGCCTTGTCTAAAAATAATCTTGTTTTTACAGTGTGTGTGTGTGTGTGTGTGTGTGTGTGTGTGTGCGCTGCTGTTGACATGCCAGCGTGTGCTCATGCAGCACTGAAGGAGATCACTTTGCCATCAAAATGACCATTTTTATTTTCTGAGGAGGGAGACAGCGGCTCGGGGGACGTTTGAGAGCGATGCCGGCGCTCATTCATAATCACGGCACAGAGAGGCAAAGGGGACATTATACATGCTGCTGGGTTGCAGTAAATTTGGTGCTGTTGAATTAAAAAAAAAAAAAAAAAAAAAATTAAGTTATCCGTCCAAATACCCACTGAGGGCTCCTCACGAAGGCCCCCTTTACGTCTTCCAATTTTTTTTGTCTTTCCGCAGTCAAGCTGACAACAACTTGGGGAAAACTGGAACTACTCTTTGTGCATTTATGTAACCGGTTGCACTTGCCTGTAATTTTCCTCCATCAATCAGCCCGACCCTAGACAAGCCCGCACAAGACCCGGGACACGCGTCGATCAAGGCCCGCATCAACACCAACAGTGTCACCCTGGCAACGTTGGGCTCATCTCTGCTGCGTTCAAGTTCACCACGGGTCGAGGTCTGCGTCTGTGATGGCGCTGTGAAGCAGATGGGACTCCAAATGAGCCATCTGCCCTGATGATTTTTGTTCCACTTGTTCAGTTGTCCCATTGACAACTGGTGAATTAGTCAAATCAATATAGAAGCGCTACTGATGCCTCACTTGTCTGACTCCGTAACCAGGGGGAGGATTTTTCCTTCTAGGTGCAAAATTTTCGGCTGAAAACGAGGGAATAGTTAAGGCTCATTTCTGCTCATTCGCAGAGGGCAGAAAGCCTTTTACAGTCAAAGTTTACTTTGAGAGGAGATATGATAGAGGTGCTATGCAACCCGCAGCATTTTTGTAAATTACCTACAGGGAATATATTAAGCTCTTTGTTCGTTCTGTCTGACACAACGTTGTTGCTTAGCAGTGTTAAACATCAGTAAAAGGCTTATAAAAACCATGTCAGATCGTCAAGCACACCCTCCTGACTCAAACACGCAGGCAAACGCGGCTCATAGAACAGGTTCATATTTTCCTGACATGCATGCTGACAGGTTATTCTATGGGAACTAAGGGGTAACATAAACTTTGTATACCGCTGTTGGAAAAGGATTCTGTTAAACAAAAGGGCTTTTTGAGGGGGGAAAAGAACATAAATATATTAGGTGTGTGTGTGTGTATTTAATACTCCGGTTTCCACCGCTGCTGCCTATTTGAACGATGCCTGCCACACTTACAACAAAGTTGTGATCCGCACCTCTGTAGAAACTTTCCTGGTTCGGGTTGGGGAATGACCACAGCGGTCAGGAACTCCTGCGCGGTTTACACAGAACCTGAAGACATGGAAACGTGCATCGAGCTGAGCCCACTAACGGCTCACTGTTGGCCCGCACATGGACACGAAGACCTCGGCCAGGATGTTATGCAAGAGATTTAGTTTGGAGTCCAGTTTTACCAAATGGAAGGAGAACTGCGGCGAACCAAACCGGCTTACCTCTTTGTTTGTTTGAGACAAATTTGCATGTGCTGGGTTTCCAGTTTGCTCGTTGTGAGGTAGATTCTATTTACTAAAATAAAATTCTGGCTTTTTGATACACAAAAAATATAAAAGTCATACAAATTTCAGATTTTTTTTCTGCTATTTAAAAGCCATATTTACCAAAGACCACATGGAGAGCGTCTGCAGGAGGCCTGTGGCAGGACGTGGGCACGGTTGCAGGGGACTGTGGGAAGGCGTTCTATCCGCCTCTCAGCTCACCTTGCCATTGGGCCAGTCCTGCCACACTGGCCACAGAAGAACCCGTAGCCCGTCTCCCACACAAACACCCCCACGCCCCGGGTCTCAGAACATCGAGCATCTGTCAAGAGGACAAACTGGAAGGCTGAGAGAAGTGGAGATAAATCGAGGAACGAACAACAAAACGGAAACTCTCCAGTGTGAGATCGCTTTGCAAGTTCTCACTGTGAAGTGGGCTGCGACGGGATAATTATGTGAGAGGGGGGGGTGGAATTCTAACAAATGTAATGCCATATTCATGCTGTAAAGCCACAGTAGATTTGTCTGTGGTGCTGGAAAGAAACGAGTGAAGAATATCACACCTGCCTAGCGAGTTTGGAGCAATTTCCCACTCCTCTGCACTGAGATCATTGTTGATGACTACATCAAACCGTCCGCTCTCCTCCACAAGCTCGCTCTTTCCTGCCTAATGATATTATTTCCATGAAATGTTCATTGTCGGGCTGCGACAAATGGAGAGCGCTGTTTTTGTTTTGGGGCAATAGAAACCTCTAATGATCTGGCTGTGAAATACAAGTGGACAGTGGAGAAGATTAAATGTATATTGTTGATTTAATGCAGGCTTCAAAAGTAATTTTATGTCTGATAAATGGAAGACGGTGGATTATCACAACAACAGAGAGAGAACCGAGTGAGGGGGAAAGGGTTCAAGCTGCTATCACGGGTTGTTTACCTACAGCTTGAGCTCAAAGCAGCTACTGTTTCTTTGCTCAAGGATTTCTTGTTTGAACACAGACATTCAAGATGGTGTAACCAAAGCTTCACCTGCTGCTACACTGACTAACACAGGTGTCAAACCCTTAGCAGAAGTACATCTTCTCCTACTACTCCGTGGCTAGGATGGTCTTCTGATCACTGTAGCTTAAGGCCCTTAAGATGAGGTTGGCACGTCCACCACTTTTGGTCCCGACATGAAATCCTGTAAGGAACTTTTAATTACTTTGATGATCCTCTGACCTTTCCTGTAATCCTGCAAGCAGATTTGAGATTTGATGTTCAGAGTGAAATATCTTACAATAGCAGGATTTGTTAGAAATTCAGTCTCTATTGGAATTAATAGATCCATTTTTTTCATCCTCACCTACAGCACAATCAGCAGGTCAAGGTCTTCACTTACTCGTGCAAATGTCTTGACTGCTGGACTCGATGTTTGGGAAACATTTTAGCATTTAGCTCAATGCATAGCTGCCTCCAAAAGCTTGTTCCATTGCTGAAGCGTTGATCATTTTTTAACTTAAAGGGCCAGTGTGTGTGGTGGTATCTGGCTGTGAGGTTGCAGATTGCAACCAACTCAAACTTCTCCTTTAGTGCAAGGCACATGGAACAAAATGTTATGTATCTGTGTGGAGAAGAAATAACTCATTCGTCGTCTTCCCATTTTCTAGTAATTATTCATAGAAGGAAACCCATCTTTCAATTTGATAATCCATATCTCCTACATGATCCCACATTGTCTCATTGACTTGAAATGTGTAACGCCTGCCCAGCTCATTGTGTTCTATAAAGAAACCCTTTTGGAACATATGCCTATAGCTCAACTTTTTGAAAAACACATTTTGTAATTTGTAAGTAATCTGACTGAGTAACGTAAAAAAAAGGACTTGACACCGACCGGCCGCTTGTGGCTCCATCCAATGTTATGTGTGTTGTAATCACTGCCTCTTTTTGTTTTACCAGTTGGGGACAAGGTGCCTGCCGACATCAGAGTGACTTCTATAAAGTCCACCACCCTGCGGGTGGACCAGTCAATCCTGACAGGTATTTTCCATCCCGCTCGTCAGACATTAAACAAACCAGCTTCAAAACGTTCACATAATTCTGAAAGACTATCCTCCATTGCACCTTTTTTTTTTATTGCGTGGTCTTGGAAGACTAAAGGTTATAAACATTGTTTAACTCGTTAATGTTGGTTCCTCTTACCCCCTTTAGGCTGCGTAACTGTGTCATTATCGAAACCCTCTTATTGTCATCCTCTCACTGGTCGTGTAGTAACCTCTGGCGCTTACAGATCTAATCCTGTGCAATCTTTCCTTTTAGGGGAGTCTGTGTCCGTGATCAAACACACAGACCCGGTTCCTGACCCCAGGGCTGTAAACCAAGACAAAAAGAACATGCTGTTTTCTGTAAGCACTTACACAGCTTGTGCAGTCATGTTTATCTTCAGCCTTTTATACCAGAGATGGATGTCATTATCGAAACAGCTAAACAACCTTTTGGTCCCACAGTAATCTAAAAGCAACTTAATGTACGCGTGTTTGATTCATTATCATTTAAATTCAATTATTTTCACATTCGTTCGGCTTCATTTTGCGGAACTTATTTCGCCCGTCTATTTCTCCAGGGCACAAATATTGCAGCGGGCCGCGCCATTGGTGTGGTTGTCGCTACCGGCGTCTCCACAGAGATCGGTAAGATCCGTAACCAGATGGCGGCCACGGAGCAGGAGAAGACGCCGCTGCAGCAGAAGCTGGACGAGTTCGGGCAGCAGCTGTCCAAGGTCATCTCCCTGATCTGCGTGGCTGTGTGGGTCATCAACATCGGCCACTTTGGGGACCCCGTGCACGGCGGCTCCTGGGTCAGAGGGGCCATCTATTACTTCAAGATCGCCGTGGCGCTGGCTGTGGCCGCCATCCCAGAGGGCCTGCCCGCTGTCATCACTACCTGCCTGGCCCTCGGCACCCGTCGCATGGCCAAGAAGAACGCCATCATCCGCAGCCTGCCCTCGGTGGAGACGCTGGGCTGCACTTCGGTCATCTGCTCCGACAAGACGGGCACCCTCACCACCAACCAGATGTCCGTCTGCAGAGTAAGGGACATCGTTTTTGTTTTTTTAACGGGTGGTTTACTTTTTCATATCCTCATCCCAAAGTTTCTGGGAATTCTCACTTAAGTGCGAAGCAGGGGAATTGCCACAAAATGCTTGTGGTGTTGAAGTGTTGAACTCCACTTGGCAGGTTTGAGATAACTGCTGCCGCAACAATACAGGCCTGCATGAGCCATCGGCTACAGTATTTTACCCGATCAGCTCACACAAGCACGGTGCAGGCTTTGCAAAATGTCACCTGGTCTGTAAATAAACCTCACACAGGGATTCATATCCTGAACTGTCCTGCAGACCCGAGTGTCTGAATAGTGGAAACATAATGCCACTTTAACTGCAATTTAACTGCAATTCATCACTTTGTCACTTGTCACTTTGTCTCTTGTCTGTTACTTGTTTGTTAGTGCACTTTATGCTTAATACTTTTCTTTTTAACTTTTTAATATTTAAAATTTGTTTAACTTTATTCCCTTGTTTTTTTACTAACCCATAGCCTTAGCCTTATTCTTACTAACCCATTGCATTAGCATTTCATTCCACTTTATTTTATTACCTGTGCACTGTTGTCTTGTCTGTCTACTGTCGCGCACTAACCGCCAAGACAAATTCCTTGTATGTTTGACATATTTTGGCCAATAAATGTTTCCTGATTCCTGATTCCTGATAATTACGTCAGACGACAAGCGCTGAAAGATCTTATCCACAACTTCTCATGGTTTGTTGTGTAGCACATGGCCGCACCCTTTCCTTTGTCGGTTGTGTGCTTACCTGCAAGCCGTCTCTGCTCCAAGCGTGGCCTAAATGCCAGCGCTGCTGTTTGCCTTGGCTCCTGGGCTTTAGCCACACACACACATACACACACACTTAATCCCTGTTAACGCCTCGTGTTACGCCTCCATCTCACCTCTCACCTCGGGTAATGACCGAGGTTCTGATTGCCAAAATTAAAGTAGTGTCCCATAACAATAGTGTCAGAAGGATTGTGTGGGCAGATCGCTTAATGATTTCCAATAGAAAATCCAGAATTTAGTTCAATTTATTATTTATTTATGAAAGGAGAATTATTAATATTCTCAACATTTTGACCGTTGATCTAGAAGGTGCTAGAATTTACTAAATGTAAACCCATCCTGTTTTCCAGCTACTTGACCTGAAATAAAACATTCCTCCCCCAATTTTAGAAGTGACATATAGTAATGATCCAAGCAAAACTGCAACAAAGTTTGAAAAAGCAACATTTATTTGCAGGTATGTATTATAATACATCAGAGCTAAGGCTACCAAATGTATGTACAAAATCAAATTGTATTCTGCAGAATTAAACACTCGTGTGTGTGTGTGTGTGTGTGTGTGCGCGCTAAGCTGAGGCCCTTAGCATCAAATAAAGACACAAGCTAACACAATCAGCCCAAAGTTTAATTTGTCCAGCAGTGTGATGTGGGATCCCGGCTCCTTAGGTCCAAAAAAGGCACATGTGAAAGATAAACTAGGTTATTGCTTAAGCATGTTCTTTAAAGCCATTCAGTACTGATATTCAAAGTCTGTCGTGTATGCAGAGGCAGATTGCATTCAGTGCTTCTGCTGCGACTTCACTTCCTCTCAAAACAAGGAGGAACTATAGTTCACTTCTATAGATCTGTCTGTGTGTGTCCATTTTATTCTGACTGTCTCAAAATGGAGTTGCCATCAGAGGACTGTGCACTTCCTGCACGGCTGACGTGCAACAAAAAAACGCCCCTCCCTTCCCATCGCTCCCAGAGATGACGTGGAGAGCCTGCGCAATTAATGCGCGGCGGTAGGGAGTTCCCTCCAGCGGCAGGCACACGGAGCGGTGATCTCCCCACAAACCCAAACCCTCCCAGACAGAAAAAGGCTGCAGGCGGGCCGGGGCTGGTTAATATTGACTCACTGCTTCCACCTGTGCTCTCTGGCCTGCTGCTCCCCGCTCTCTGGTAGAAGATAAGGGTCACACACACATTCACTACTCTCATTAAGACAAATCAAATATTCACTTTGCAGTTGTTTTTCTATGGCTCCCCGGTCATATTTGCAGTTGCATAACTCGTCCCCCTGCGTGTGCATTCTTTGCTAATTTTTTATGGGGTTTATGTCGTATGAATGTTTGTCCAGGCTCGTCCATCTGTGCTTATTGGTGGCCTGGTCTGCAGCCGAAGGCCCCGATGGCAGCATGTGTCTCCCGTGCCTGAGGGCTATCCCCATATCAGCGGGATTTCCAGGGATTCCCCCTTTGTATTCCGGCTTCCCTTTTACACACACACACACACACACACACACGTACCCGACCCAAGCTCAAAGGAAGTGGCTAGTAGAAGAAACTTGACTGAGTCACATGGCTCACACTGCCGTGTTTCCTTGGGGACAACAGTGGATCAGACGGGGGGGGAGGGGGGGTGAAAGGAAAATATTATTTTATTCTGTAGGCCCGCGGCTTTGTGTGTGTGTGTGCTGTACGTGCTCTAGTAGAAGTTGGGTCCCTAAATCGGGACGGATCTATTGAAGAGAAAAAGGGTGCGGGGGAAGGGTGAGGCATCTTTAAACGTTCCTTAAAGACACATTGAGTCTCTAAATTGAAATGGAAAATCTGGGAACTAACATAGTGAATAATAGCAGGTGGACCTGTGTTTTTTGGGCCCATTTTTCAGGGACACTTATCTGGATGTCTTAACTGCTTAACTGCTCGGTACTTTAGAACAGTGGGCAGTGGGCACAGGACCGTGGGCAGTTTGGTACCGGGCCGCACCACAGAAAGATTTTTTTTTTTTCTGAAAAATGTTTCATTTTGAAAACTGACCGGATTTTCTCTTGATTATGTGCGCTCGCCCCTCTGACAGATTCCCCACGCGTCACCAGGCGTTTTTCTTGTCCTTTTACCATGCATGGCAGTTTCGCCGACCAGCGAACACAGAGTGCGCGAATACTACCCCTCCCCCCCTCCCCCCCCCGTAAATACAACAGAAGAACAGCCGGTGCAGCAAACAAACACATTGTTTTTGTATGAGAGTCCAGCGTCATAATGGCCTATTCCCTGTATTCTTTGCCTATCTGCAGAAGTGTGTGTGTGTTTGTGTGTGTGTGTGTGTGTGTGTGAGACACATATATATATATATATATATATATATATATGTATGTATATGTGTGTGTCTGAATACATTGACATTTCAGAGTACTGCCCCTAGACACAGACTACAGAGCTCCGTGTTGCAACGGCTGGAGTACAACAAATAACAGGTTCTGCACTTATCTTCTTAGAACATACTTGACTCCGTCTCTCTTTCTCACACTATTGTTCTGGCACATGAATAGTTAAGGAATGCCATCAGGTCTGTGCAATGCGTCACTCACTGCAGCCCTGGGTTTGTTTGTACCCAGGGAGTTTCTAAGGAACACCTCTGTTGCAGCTAGGCGCAGCGATCCGCAGAACAACATTAAAATATATCCAATACAACAGATTGTGGGTTCTGCTTGGCACCTTTAGTTCAACCACGTCCACAGCTCTGTCCTCAGCCTGGTTTCAAAGGCTGAATTATAAAGTGATGTCATTTTCTAAACTTACCAGACTCCTCCAGCTATTTGTGTTTACCCACAGAAATTCCAGTGTTCCCCACCCTCCCCCCTCCCCCCCTGACACTGTGACAAAGTAGCAGCAGATGGGGTGAGGGGGGGGCATGGCGAAGGATCTTTAGGCCCTTACCTTGTGCGGCCTTGGGCAATTGGAATCATGTGTCTGAATGGTGGAACTCACGCCTTACAACAACTACTGCAGTGTGCGTATATATAACAGGCTTTTTAAAAGTACTGGCAATCCTTTTGTTTTAATACGCTTCCACTTCAAATGGATTCCACTTCAATGTCCCTCTCGAGAGGGACATTGTTTACTGCAGTAGAAGATGGAAAAGGTTTCGCACTGATGTCAGAAATTACAAATCTAAAATTGCATGTTTTCACAAAAGTTCTAATGTCACAGAAGCTATAATCATGATTCAGTATGACAGCTTCTTATAACCGACTTTCATCTAATTTAGACTGTACTAAATCAGTGGACGGTCCAGTAATTCTGTTGCTAGAGAGCGTTAAGGAATAATTGCTCCAATAAAAGGCTGGAACTTACCTTTTAGGCTGACGTGTAAGAGGGACGACGGCTAGCTCTCATCTCATGCCATCGATTTTGTGTTCCTTTCTAAATTGGTGGAGGCTGGAAAGTCAGACTTGCGCACGCATAAACACATACACACTGACCGAGGAAACCAGTTTAACCAATTAACCGCGTCATTAATTCTTTAGTAAGATTTAATAGAGTGTGTGTGTGTGTGTGTGTGGTATTTTATGTGAATTTGGATGGTCAATTGTGATGTCATTCTTACAAACAACCAACCTCAAAATTCCTTCTCCTTTTATGGATATACATGTACATATCACCAGTGCATCATCCTTGCTCTGGGAATTCACGGGAAACAAAGTTGCCAACAAAGAAAAAACGCTGCCTTGTCCCTCCTCTGACTTTTGGTTTGTTTTGAAGGTGGAAGCTTTGCATTAAGACGTGTGAGCAGTGCAGCCGCCGTGCTGCCTGCGTGTAGGTTGACCCCCCTACCTGGCCAGTGACCCTTTTTCGAGCCTGCAGAGTACTTTCTGTTTACAGCCACTGTTTGATTTTCGTAATGACGGCGAGAGAAGTAAAGAATGACTCTTTGGTTGGATGCTCCCTGCTTCTTACTATCTACACAATACCATAGCTGTTTGTTTGAAGGCCCTTCAGACACTACGGGGTGTGTTCAAAAAGAAAGAAACTCTGGATTCAAAACTTTGAATCAAAAGTTTTTAATAATGGAAAAGGAGTTAAAGGCTTCTAAAAAGGACATGGGTATCCGCTGGTTCCTCAGAGTAGTTCATCGACAACCAAATAGGGGAAATAAGAGACGGTCACGTCTCGGTCAACGAATCTAGAACAGCCCACAGGTATTAATGCAGGTCAATAAAGGTGTGAAAGGCAGTGTCCACGCCTCTCCACTTTTTATAGAATATGGTGGTGCAATGAGGTATTACACTGGAAGGTGCGTTCAAAGTAACTCAGATTTAGCTGTGCATTGGTATTGTTCTATTTATTACAGCGGCGTTACACTATTTTCATTTCTTTATTGATTGCGTAGTTACAGAATCATAGCTGTGTACTTGTGTACACTAAATGCATTTTATTAATTGGTCTCATTTATGAACCGGGTCATCAGTTATTTGATAATATTCCACACAGTTAATCAATTTGATTGTTTTGTAATTCCTCGGTGGCGTACCGTGAAAGCTAATGTGTTATATTACCTTTTTGAGCAACCTACGACAATCCCACACCTCAGACCTGTAACCATTTGATAATTAACCATGGTTTTCAGAGCAAACCCTCGACCTGGGTTTTTGTAACAACAACAACAAAAAACAAATAACACCTTATTTCTTCCACAAATGAAAATGAATTAGCAATAATTTGCCACCTTGTGAAGCTGGTGATGGGAGGATGGAGGGAGAGTCAAATTGTCCGTCTTGACATCTCCTTAGTTTCAAATTGTGTTGGCAACACACAGTAAGGCCGCACCACAGAAATATTGTCTTTATATGATTGTTAGGACATTTAGTGAGTATTTTATCTTTAATTTAGGATGCTTCCTAAGTGATAGTGGGATTTTCAACTCTCAATACCAAAATGTTGTAGGTGAGATTACACAAAATGTAATAGTTTGCATCACTTTATACACGTGGTAAAACGGATTCAACCGATCTAAATTATGCATAGTGGAAAAGATATTGGTGAAGAGTCAGATGTTTTTGTCGGCTAGTGAGCGACACAAGTTTAATAAGATTGTAGACAATAAAGGAACAGTTACCGCTGCAATAACATTTTACTGTCACCATTTTTAATAGGTCTCTGACTATAAGAGTCCCTGCACGGCATGTTGGACTAATAATGAACTATACTGACTCTCTTTGCTTTTCCTCCTCTTCAGATGTTTGTTGCAGACACAGTGGAAGATTCAACCTGCAGCCTCCACGAGTTCTCCATAACGGGTTCAACATATGCCCCTGAGGGACAAATGTAAGTGTCAAAGTTTCAACATTTATTGCTTGCATTATTTTCTATCCGTTGCACTCCTTCACCTTGTGAAAAATGTCCCTCTCAAACTTCACCAGAACCATTTACTCTGAACTGTAAATGCCTCCGCGCCCTCTTTCCTCCAATCCTGGCTCTGATAAAAGAAGAATGTACATGAATGTGGTTAAACAAACTCCGGATTCTTTACGTAAATGGTACTGATTCCCCCCAAAATGTTTCTACTGGTGTTTTGTGTTCCTATGGCAATGTCTGCAATACCCAGGGAATATTTACCTTGGATGTTGTTTTGTGTAATACGTATGTGTTTTTAAAATTTTTGTGGTGATTTCGATCTCTGCCCTATCAGCATGCATTGTTATACTTTGTTATACCAAATGCGTGTCTGTGGAAGGAACATGGGTAGGCGGGCAGTCATTAGGCATGACTGATTCTACTCTTCACTTTGTTTGCATGTTGTTTATTTAGCTGTTCGGTGGGTACAGTGTTCTGACTCCGCATGAACCTGTTGATTTCATAACAGCACAGTGTGGGTAATTGTGTGGGAGCTTCGCTAGCAACGGTTGCAGTCTCTACCGAATAGAGATGCACGGTTGTCATGTAATATGCACTGCTTGTCAGAAACACACTTACTACCAAAGAAACACTGTTTCTAAAGTCAATTTTGGAATGCAAAACATTTGAACTGTCTGCCTTACTCACAAATATTGATTAGGTTATTGTGTCCGAGGTTTAGTGCGCTGTGAATTATTTTTTTCTTGTGTTTTGCTGTGGCTGATGTGTGTGTGTGTGTGTCCTTCTAGACTGAAAGGAGACAAGCCCATCCAGTGCGGAGACTTTGATGGACTCTTGGAGTTGGCCACTGTGTGTGCGATGTGCAATGACTCTTCACTGGACTACAATGAGGTCATTAACACACACACACACACACACACACACTAAAGACTAACTCTTGTGAGGGACCTAAATTACGTAATACTTTCCAAACACCTTACCCTGACCTTTAACCTACACATCGCCCAATACCTCACCCCAATCCTTATCCCAAAACGGACCTCAACCGTATTTTAACCTAAAGTTTTACCCCTCAAACAGGCCTCTGTAGAAGTGAGGAGTTACCAAAATGTCCTCTCTTTACAAAAAGGTCCTCACCATGTAGCAAAAGAATGGATACAGTGTGAACACGCACTTCCAAGAGAAAATGGAATATATTCATTCGCATTACAAAAAGCATTTTTCTCTTCTCCCCTTCAGCTGAGCTAATTTTACTCCGAGGTATGATCTGTTTCTGTGGTTCGGATTGCTTTTCTCAGCTATTTGCCGTCACCATGGTATCATGGTTACTGTGCTGAGAAGCAGGGCCAGCGGTGAGGCACTTTTCAACTCCCATTTTTACGTTTTCGGAATAAAGGCCCCGCGGAGTAGCACTTCAAAGTGTGTTGAACTAAGAGCGAGTGGGGAGCTAGGTGTTTTATTTCCAAGCCACACCAACAAATGATGTGTGGTATGCCATTACTGCTCCACTTTGCATATGGGACCCTTGCAGAGGAGAAGCCGCAGATTTGCTCGCAGCACATTTATTTTGTGGGGTTTCTTCAGGACGGTTCTTTACGTTTAACGATGGAGGCTGTTTGCCCTCAAGATCTAACATGTGTCCTCATAAAGGAGTCTGACATCTATAAAACAGTTCAGCAGCGTGTGTTGATGCATTTCTGTTCTTTGGTAGGCCAAAGGGGTCTATGAAAAGGTGGGTGAAGCCACGGAGACGGCTCTCACCACTTTGGTGGAGAAGATGAACGTCTTCAAGACCGACCTGTCCGGGATCAGCAAGGTGGAACGTGCCGGTGCCTGTAACACGGTAAGTTTTGTGTGGAGACGTTCGTGTGAGCTTTGCGGTGTGATGATTGTCTGTGTTTTAAAAAGGACCTCCAGGGATCCCCCGGTATCTCACCTGGGAGAGCCCGCACCACGTATTGAGTCCTTAACACAGGCCCGGGTTAGAATCCGACCCACAGCTGTCCAAAAAACTGCTTCTCTGGGCTGAATATTACAAGTTTGAAAATGAAATAAAGGTTTCTGTTAGAAAGGCCTGCTTTTTCGAGTATCTACAGCCAGGGTGCTGCCAACATCTTATCCATGTAAGACACATCACTTCTTTGACCGTGTCCTTGCTCTCCCAACATGCTAAAACAAAGGTGGTCATAGACCTAACAAACACTTTGTTCAATCTCTACAGCTATGACGCTGGAAACATCTAATCCAAGTGGGAGACATCAGTTCTTATGTCAGGGCCTTTGTGATCTAACCACTTGCAACTAATAAACTGGTTATACAAACGAAGCATTTAAAAGGGTTACATATCATTTTCCCATCACAGACCTCTTTACCACTTTTCTGCTGGCTTAGAGGCGAGATCAGCTGCTACAAGGAAAACACACCGGGATCTCAGACCCAACCGTCAACAGTTTTAGCAGTGCGATGCTAACTCTGCGCTGTAGTCGTTTAGTTAAGCACTGTTTTGTCGAGTAACTTGAGTTGACTAGCTCAGAATTGACATCTGAGCTGTGAACTAGAGGGACACCTACTGGTCGACCAGAACACTATATTACATGTAGATGATGCTGAACGTGACGATAGGGATGTTGATAGGCTTAAGTTCCCTCCGGCTAGCATTTGGCTATTGCTTTCTCCATATTCACTGTTGCTGGCCATCCTGAACACTATCACCGTGTTCTGTCGTCGTGCAGAGGCGTCTGAGGCGGCGGCCAGACACCCAGACAAGGTGGTTGAGTGCTCGCTCTAAAGTGTGATCCTTCAGCTGTCAGTAGCTGAGCCAAACCCCTCCATCAGCCTCTGGCTGCCCGCCTGACAGCTGCCCACGGATACAGCCACTTAGCTCAAGCGTCGCCTCTTACATTTTCCTCTTCTCCTCCTCGTTACTACTCCTTCAGGTGATCAAGCAGTTGATGAAGAAGGAGTTCACCCTGGAGTTCTCTCGTGACCGTAAATCCATGTCTGTCTACTGCACCCCCGTCAAGCCGGGCTCCCAGAGTAAAATGTTCATCAAGGCAAGAATAAATCATACAATCGCGCGCACACACACACACACACACACACACATACAGGGACCTTTCTTTTCACCTCCTACATTTTCACCTCCTACATCGCTGCTTGACGTTCTTCTCTTTTGTCGATGTGGGTTCTGGTCTCAGGGCGCTCCGGAGAGTGTGATTGAGCGCTGTCAGTACCTGCGGGTGGGAACAGGGAAGGTGACACTGACGCCCGCCCTGCGCGACCAGCTGCTGTCCAAAATCAGGGACTGGGGCACGGGCAGAGACACCCTGCGCTGCTTGGCGCTGGCCACTCACGACGTCCCGCCTCGCAAAGAGCAGATGGACTTGGAGAATTCCAACAAGTTTGTGGAGTATGAGGTAAAGCAGATGTTTGTCTCATGCATCCCAATAAATAATCATTTGGATTGTTGGCATTTTGTGTGACGTTTCCTTTTGCAGCAGAACTGATGTTGAACAGAAGTTTCAGTGTTAATTGTCAAGCTTTGGAGGTGCTGGTAGGGAGATTTTCTTTAACCCTTAGACATTGTCCGGTAAGATGTCATGCTGCTCCTTTAAAGTCCTCTTTGCTCACATCTTTCGCTTGAATCGGATGCCATGATAGCCTCAAGCTTTTACACACGGTTCTTCTTCTCTGAAATGATCTAATCAAATCTGTTTCTTTTCTGCAGAAATACAATTTGAATATATGAATTCCATACCCGTTGGGCTAAGCGAAAATTTTGCCAAATGTGCAACCTAATTCCCTTCTCTCATTATTTTGTTTGATTCACAATCAGTTGGGTCTCACGTTTGTTGGCTGCGTGGGAATGCTGGACCCGCCCAGGAAGGAGGTGATCGGCTCGGTGAAACTCTGCAAAGAGGCTGGGATACGTGTCATCATGATCACGGGGGACAACAAGGGAACAGCCGTTGCCATCTGCAGACGAATTGGCATCTTCGGCGAGGACGAGGACGTGACTGGGAAGGCCTACACGGGCCGCGAGTTCGACGACCTCCCGCTGGAGGCCCAAAGAGAAGCCGTCAAAAGGGCGCGATGCTTCGCCCGCGTCGAACCGGCCCACAAGTCCAAGATTGTCGGATACTTGCAGGCGTTTGATGAGATTACGGCAATGGTGAGGAGAAGGGACGGGTCAGGGCACAACCTTCTACCCTGGCACAAACCCCCTTCAATCTTTCTGTTTCCTGCAAATCCAAACATTGTACATTTCCCTTGTCACGTGTTTCTGTATGCCTGCTCCAAGGGGAAACGGGGGTGTGATTGTAATTTCTTCAACTGTTTGTTATGTGGATGACGTGTGAAAGTGCATGAGGGGAAGCCGGCGCTGCGTGACGTGTTGGAGATTTCTGCTAAGCTGCACTCGCAGACACTGCCATCAAGGCTGCCATCGCTCCACTGCTTCCTGTCTGACACCTGTCTCTGACGAGGGAGAGAGGGGGAGAGAGAGAGAGAGACTGCAATATCAACATTTGCCCGTCAGAGCATCTGAAGCTGCTTCACGCCCCGCCATCACAGATTATTACTCTCCGCTTTTGCTTTACCTCCGTCTGGATCTGAAACTATGATAACACGTGGCATAGTGAGACTGCGGTTTGTTTTTGTTGGTTTGTTAGCCCAATCACTGTTTAAAGAATAAATTCCCCAATATCAAGGTAAAGCTCTAAAGAACTGGTATACCTAAAGACGTTTTAAAAATATTCTCTATATTTGACACTAGTTCTTTATGCTGCAGTAGTATTCATAAAATTGGCCTCTGTTTACTCTTTGTTGTTGCCTGAAAAAAAGAAAATGCCCTTCAAATGATTGGGCTTAGTGTTTGAGTCTTGTATACGTGTAGATTTCATGTTCTGCAGCTGCTAAAGTAACCAGGAATTTCCATACAATCCACTGAGTCAAGTGTTCCGATGCATCGACTACAGAGGAAGTCTTTTTCCACTGCAGACGGGCGATGGTGTAAATGACGCTCCGGCCCTGAAGAAAGCGGAGATCGGCATCGCCATGGGCTCCGGCACAGCAGTGGCCAAGTCGGCGTCCGAGATGGTGCTGTCAGACGATAACTTCTCCACCATAGTGGCAGCTGTGGAGGAGGGCCGAGCCATCTACAACAACATGAAGCAGTTCATCAGATACCTCATCTCCTCTAACGTGGGAGAAGTGGTCTGGTGAGGAACATCAACACACACACATACACACACATACACATCTAAACTCACACACTCTGGGATGATAGTAGTCACCTCCAGTGAGCTGATGGTTGTGTTTCTTCCACTTTCCGTCTCCAGCATCTTCCTGACGGCCATCCTCGGTCTGCCCGAGGCTTTGATTCCGGTCCAGCTGCTGTGGGTGAACCTGGTGACCGACGGCCTGCCCGCCACCGCCCTGGGCTTTAACCCCCCGGATCTGGACATCATGGACAAACCCCCCCGCAACCCCAAGGAGCCTCTCATCTCTGGCTGGCTCTTCTTCAGATATCTGGCCATTGGAGGTAGCGTTGGCTCTGTGTTTGATCAAGTCATAGTATGGACAGATTTACAATTAAAATGTGTGAAGGAAAGGAGAGTTAAAGAGGAACATTCTTTGATTTTTTTTTTTCCCCAGAGGTGACTTTTTTTTCTTGAAATCTGCACCTGGCACTCTTTCTCATATCTCCAAAACTCCCAAACCCCTCTTGTTGATAGACTTGCTAACATGACGCACAGAATTCCAAGGGGAAAAAGAAAGCTGCTTTCGGATCGCTGATGCTTTGCCCATGTGTGTGGTTGCAGGGGCTCAGGCCGACGAGAAACACGTGGAAATGCTTCAGTGTAATGTTTAGTAAAGATTGTTACCCATTTCTAAGCTAAATAAACGTTTTCAGGTGCTAATTCTATTTTTTTTGTCCTGTAGGATATGTGGGTCTTGGAACTGTGGGTGCTGCCACCTGGTGGTATCTGTATGATGAAGAAGGCCCACACGTCTCTTTCTATCAGCTGGTGAGTTACAAACCATTTCTCTGTGTCTCTCTCTGTCGTCTTTAGTTCCCCAAAATGTTGTTTTTCTTTTCTATTATATTTTGGTATGCACCCCCTTGCAGCTTTCTGAGATGTCTGGCTATCCCTGTGGTGTACTGAAATAGAAAGGGGAGTAAGACCCATGTTGCCTGATTGTACTCTGTGGGGGGGCCGAGGCTGTGCAGCTGTTCCCCCATCAGATCTGAGCTCCCTCAAACCAGGTCGGGGGGGGGGGGACCCCTTGACTTCCTGCTGAGACTTCCTGTGCACAGACCTTCAATCTGCTCCGTCTCTCTCTACAGAGACACTTCATGCAGTGTACCGAGGACAACCCCATGTTCCAGGGCGTTGACTGCGAGGTGTTTGAATCCCGCTACCCCACAACCATGGCCTTGTCTGTGCTGGTCACCATTGAGATGTTCAACTCTCTCAACAGGTCAGTCATCCTCTGCTGCGAGGGGGCAAACGTTCCCTCGATGTCAGATATTTATCAAAAATATCAGTTCAACAGACAGCACTCCCTTTTGGATGAGACCAACTGGCCGGCGGAGGGACAACCGCATGGTTTCCATCTATCATTAACTCTTTTAACTGCTGGATCACTTGGTATTGTCGTTTTATAATGCCAGTGTATCGGCCACACATTGTGAGAAATAGATCAACGCCTATTTAGGGAGGCAGAAAATAGAATAAAAGTGAAGGGAAACTTCTGAGTGTTTCTGCCAGGTTTTCTCATGGAGCAAGTCTGTCACTGGCTCCCTATAGAAACAAATGGTGGCGTCTCATTTAGGGAAAAATCTGAGCGAGGGAAGGTTAGAATGAAGAAAAATGTAACCAACGCAGTCGGTTTTCCACATGCTAACCTGGTTACTTTCCGCATTTAGGAAGCCCAACATGTTATTACAACGCATTTAGTGACAAATCAAAGGTCATGAATCATAGTGTGATTGCAACCTTAAAACATTGTGAACTCGTCAGAATCCTTCTTTATTAATCTTTGCAACATGAGACAACTTTCAGGATATGATACTGAGAAGCCGATTACTCAACATGTCTTGATTTACATCTTCTTCTCCGCCAGTTTGTCTGAGAACCAGTCTCTGCTCAGGATGCCTCCTTGGGTCAACATTTGGCTGCTGGGAGCCATCATTCTCTCCCTCTCCCTCCACTTCTTAATCCTCTACGTTGAGCCTCTGCCGGTAAGTGTTCATCCACCAGACCTCGGTAGACTCTGTCAGCCAACCATGGATCTATAGGGGGGTTACTGCCAATCACACAAACCGTGGCCCAAATGGGCCAATTCTTCTTGACAATGTTGTTTGTTCAGGCTAAATATAAAATGAGCAAAGAGTACTGTTTCCCTGACAACTCGACACACTGCAACCCGAGAGAGACATATATTCAGATGAACTTAAAACCCGACTAAATGCAGAATCACTGAAAGCTTGGCAACAACAGAATTTTCCAAGGGCTTGCTGGTCTGTCCCTTTTTTTAGTGTCCCATGGAAACTTCTCTTCTCTTGTGTTCTATGCAATTGCATCGTTTTACAGCCGTTTTCCTTCTAAATGCGGCACTTATATGTTTTCGTAAAGAAGCACTCCACCGAACTAATGACCCTGTGTATATAAATTACTCCCAGTCTGTTGCTTTGAACTCTTTAAAACAACATTGTTTTCTAGAATTACCCCTACACGGTAAAACAGGGAATCCAAACACCCTCCCTGCATGAAATGAAATGATATAACAAGGCCACTTGACAAAAGGCTTTATTGGATTCCATTGTCCTGCATCAGATGATAGTTTCTGACTTTTCCTCCGCGCTTCAGTTGATCTTCCAGGTGACCCCACTGTGCTGGTCCCAGTGGATTGTGGTCCTGAAGATTTCCATCCCAGTCATCCTCCTGGATGAGGCACTGAAATATATCTCCAGGAACCATCTAGAAGGTATGGGAGGCTTTGTTGGTCCACCTTTGAATCAACCCAAAGTGTGGAGTCTGGGATGTAAAGTCAGTGAATGTTGTGATATTAAATATCTAGTTTTACTGACACTCTCATGTCAAGATTTTTCTCTGGCATCTCTTAATTTACTACCAACGCTTTTTAATCTCACCTCTGACTGTCAACCGTCCCTCTCCATTAGAAAGAGCTATATACTGACTACTATATACTGACTTTCTTTCATTTTTGTTAAATTCCCCGACAGGTGATGAGGAGAAGAAATACCGGAGGAGGTGGCAGCAGCAGCAGGACTAAGACCTCCCACCTCAACACAGTCACATACTTAGACACACGCCTCCCCTCTTCCCTTTTAGGAGTTAGAAACATTCCTCTCCCACTTCTCTCCCTCCTCAACCCCATCTCCTGCATGACCAAAAAAAACAACACCACTAGCAATGAGCAGGGTTTTCCAGCGAGCATGGCTTTGTACGAGTGTGTGAGTAAATGAGCTGTGTGTGTCGACAGGTAGATGCAGGCTTGTTGTTATACTCGCAAGAAACAACTGCAGAAAAGAAGGAAAAAAAACAAATTGCCCAGGGCTCTTGCTTTTATTTTTATTTTTTTTGGGCTGTATAGTAAAATGGAGAGGGAGGGCAGGGCGTTAGGAGAGAGGAGGGAAATCACAAATTAGCACAGCGACCAAAAGATTGATTTTTAGAGACCCGCTTTAGACAAGAGGCCGGCGTCCACACCTGCAGAGGAAGACCGTCGCAGGAATGTGGACGTCAAAAACGGCCTCCCAACTGTTTGTCCACACAAAGGTTACGTGGAAGGTACCGCGCAGGCTTCTACCGGCCCGGGAGTTTCAGCCTAGCTCCACCTTTATTGGCACAAATTGTACCCAGGACCAGTTTGCCCCGGCGCTGCTCGTCTTCACTCTCCTCGCGCGGTTTATTCTTTTCCAGCTATCTCTGGAAGAGCCATCTGTAGGTAAAAAACAAATAAATGAATAGAGAACTAATAAATAAATGAAGATCTCAATCAGGACCCAAACCAGCATTTCAGTAGAGAAGACGTCAGCCAGTCCACCCGGCTGGTCCTGCTAAGCCTCACTGTGTCTGCTGTGTAAAGTCCGAGCTGTTGAACATCTAAAGGAAAGGCGGGTCGGAGCAGGACGTTGGAAGCTTCATATTTTGTACATACTTGTATCGAAGCGTAGTGTTTTTGAGCGTCCCTTTCAGTTGAATCAGTTATTTCGTGCCGCGCACCAGCGCCGTCCTGTGTGTTAGGCTGTGTGTGCGTGCATGAGTGTGTGTGTGTGTGTGTGCGCACGCACGCATTATAGCCTCAGTTGAATCAAATCGACAGTTGACCAATGGCACAGATGATGTCATCAAAGTTACGGCGAGTCAACTGCTCGACTGTGTGAGTCCAACTTCGTCGTCTACACGTTAAGCACGTTGAACATCCATGCCCGACGACGCCCACTGCACCTCCACATGAAATATGTGGCCGACATGAATGTGTTCATGCGAGCCCCAACAGCCACTGCTCTCACTCGTATGTGCCCCCTCAGTGAGATCCTTAGTTCGAAGTCTAAAAGACTCTGAATGTGCCCGCGCTGTGAGGCACGGTTAATCGAAATGTCCCTTTTTTTGTTGTGTTTGGTGCGCCGCTTCCACAGCTGCTCCTGCTCTCTCATCGCTTCAGCAACTCACTTTGGTATTGTTTCATAACGACTAAGTAGTAATGTATTTGACTGAATGAATGCTCGCGGTTTGGATTGTCTCTTTAAGTCTTAAATATGGGTTCATGTGTCGGGCCGTGGGGCTCTGCGGACCGGGTTCAGTGGTGTCTTTGGTCTCTGGTTGGCTCCATGTGGGACAGAGGAAAGTGTACAATCAAACCAGAAAAAATGTATCCAGTAAAAAAAACTGTATACACATTTGATATGTTCAGACGGACGGTATGGGGGAATAAGTGTTTCAAAATTAAAGTAAGAAACAAGTTCTAGTAGAAGACTAAAATACAAATGTGTACTTGGAATTAAACATGATATTACTCCTTTAAGTTAACCAAGCCAACTGGTGGAATGTTTCCTATAGTGACGATTTAACGGTGGAATTTTCCTTCCTCTGCTGTAATTAACAGCTTTATTCGGACTCAAATTGGCATAAAACAGCCGTTGCATTACGTTTTTGTTCCACAGCCATGTGAATGTGGCACGTCTGTCCAGACCAGCAGACCACTGGTCGTTGTCCCGGGTCTCCATGGCTCCCTAACATGTTGACACTCTGGGCACCAGGCACTATAGGTCTGCATAGCCTCGTTATTTACTACTGAATCCTCAACTCTGTACAGAAGATGAGAATATGATCGCATGGCAACTTGTTACTGTAATAATAACCTATACAGTATATATTTAAGTTTTTGATAACTTGCATCAATGACACCTACCTAGCAACACAGACCTGCGAGAATTTTTTGTTTTTCTTTGAGCACATGGCATCTTAGGATCCTTTTTTTTGTCAATGTTTTATAGATTAGAGAGTGTTTTTTTTTTCCTTAATCCCCCCCCCCCCCCCATTTGTTTTTTACAGCTGCTGGGGTTTTGTGTCTTTAATTGTAGGGAGGGGGGGGGATATATGACGTTATCGCGTTTAAGGTAGACAAGAGTCATGCTTGTTTTATTATTGACGATGACGGTGATCATTTCAGTGATGGTTATCCGGTGCGACGAGGTTCAAGAACTTGTGAATAAACTGTGTCTGGTTTACACTGAGCGATAAGCAGTAATTGATTTTGAAGTTTTCTGACTGTACATTGAAGAGGCCGGTGTGTATGCATGCTCTGGAGACCCCGACAATGTGTTTATGTCTGAGAGGCCCTCTAGAATGGCATTCAAAGTCCTCTTCCATCTGTTGAAGAATAACCACCTGTGCTCACAGTGAAGGAGTGATCAGTCTCATATGAATAACATCTTTTTCCGTCTATGGACAAGTAAACTAATTTCACCTCTGAGAAATATAAAATTATTCTGTTTTTCCTTGTTAATATTGATTGTGGACACATAATTTTATAAATGACAAAGACGTGGAAATAAAGATTTATCTTGTTATTTATTCAGAGGTTGATTTTTTTATTTTTTTTTATTTTAGTTACTGTGTTAAATCTGACAATATGAAACCATATTCTTTGCAACTTCTTTGTAACAGAAATACTTTGCGGGGTTCTTTTGCAAAATGGAAAGCACATTTCAAAAGGTGTCTCGTTCTCCTCACAACTATCCATCACCAGAGTGCAGATCACAACAACACGTTCGGGCGCAGGATCAGAAAGCCGACTGATGACACTGATCAATCCCAGACAATTGGAGAAGTGTACCGGGATCATCTTCAGGCGTTGTCAATAGTCCTCACAGAGAAGAGCAAGTCACAAATAATGTATTACTCCCATAGTCGTGTTCTGCAAACATGGGGGAAATTCAAAAAATAGTTTTCATTGATTCAGTAGAATGGTGTAGAAGCCAACAAGTAGAGAAGAAAATGGATCAATGGAACATAATATATTATATGTCCAAATTAGTTTCAATGACCAAAGAGCAAACTAGCAATGGCTTTGTAGAATTATAATATACTACACTGCTCAATCAAATCATAACCTCAGACCTGCAAACAATAAGTAGTGATTAACAACTGGAGATGAAAAAGACAAGTCACAACAGCTGTAATATTCAGCCTCCATGTGCAGCTGTGTTTTACTTGACTTGAATTTTGTTATTACAGCATTGCATGAATACAGCAAATCCCACGTGGTGAGTTTGTAGTGACACCATGCGACAGTCACAACAGCAATAACACCACTGTGAACGTGACGACAAACATTGGTGCTTTTGAACCAGTAGGGGGTAATGTTCCACCACCGGTCTGTGTTTGTGTACATCTATTGGGTCATATAAGGATGTTCTATGGAACCCATCATCTAAAGAAGAAGAGCGCAGGGACTGGTTCTGTATCAAAAGACCAACTCGTGTCTTTTAGCTCACATGGTCGCAGGACGTTCAAATGATTCGTCTCCACGTGTCCAACCCTCTGACGACCACTTATCACGCAGACAGAAGTTCTTCGGTGCGGTTTCCTTTCCATCTCTCCCGTGTGAGAAGGACAAACATCTACACAAGTTCCTGTGGAGAGGTGGGAATCCAGAGAGTCTCAAGGGACATGGAAGAGGATCTCATTAGTATGAGGCCGTTCATTTCCTGGCGGGAGCCTGGTGGAGGGAAGTCAGCAGGGGCCGAGTGCCTCTGAAACACGAACCCACACGTGGCTGCTGAGAAAACACAATGATGGAGTAGGCTTTTTTTTTCTTCTTTTTTTTGCCTGCAACAAAGTGTGGAGAATCCAGTGCGTGCTCTGCTAAAGTGAACACAACACCTAACAGTGCTTTTCCCAAAGGCACAGATTATAGAAAGTGTCTGTGATGAGGGTTATTAGTGGTTGAGCACTTTTTTTTCTACTTTTATAATGACGTGAAAGACTGGAAAACATCCCAATGGTTCTGGTCTTTGTGCAGGTTAAATAACACACACACACACACACACACACACACACACAAAGCCTTAGTTTGTTTGAAACAAGCTACTGCTTCTATTGATTAGGTGCACGGACCATTATGAATGGTTTGCCTTTGTATGAGACTCATTGAAAATCGGCCATCACAGACCAAAACAAAGCTCTTAACAATGCAGGAGAACCAAATCATTGCCATCTGAGTCACGCAGGTGGGCCTTACATGTATGCATACAGACCGACGCACACGCTGCGTCAGCTGGACTTCACCACAGCTGTGCAGTGGCTCTGTGAGGATGCAGTGCCTTGAGACACAAAAGTTTGGAAAAGGGTTTTCAGGGTGCTTGTGGCGCAGGGGAGGAGACCCTGTCCCTGCATCCCGCGGTGCTGGCCAGCTTTGTGCCGAGAGCCTGAAGACACTAACAAACCAGAGAATGATTTCCTCTACGGCGGCTTCAGGGAAGAGGAAGTTGCCTTCTCTCAAAGACTGCCACTGTCTCATGGACGTGTTAGTGACTGGACTACCCTGTACTTCTACATTCATACTGTATTTGGTTTCTACTGCAGCGCAGTCACTAGTTAGTCCACAAGTACAACAATGCAAAACAAACACAATAATTTGATTCATGGAATAGCTCAAATAATCCATTTTAATTTAAGATACAAAGCATTGATAAAAAATCCAAATACCACACATCTACTTACTTTTGGTAAAGTAAGATTTCAATGTATCTTTTTCTCAACATGGTAGTACTTTTATTTGATTAAAGGATCTGAATACTTCCTCCACCACTGCTTCCAGTCTAAAGCTTGAGCAAATACATTGTGTCAGTTAAACTATTCAAAATTGTACTGTTATAGTGAGAAATATCAATGGTGTTTCTTACAAAGTGAACACACACATTCAGAAGGGGGGGGGGGGGGGGATTTGGGAGATTAGTTGAGAGATTATGAAAAGTATTTTATTTAAAAAGACACTGGCCTGAAATGTTAAAAACATTCACTGCATGCACCAACACAGTGCTCCTGTTTTCAATGAATATTCGCCGTACAGCCAAGATAAGCAGCTGCCTTACACAAGTTTACACATGGCTCATTTACAGTACAATATGTTTTATGTTGAGAAATAATTCCCTTTAAGTGTTCAACCATGGACTGCACTCCATGGCAAACCATATTAACTGGTCTCGACCATTTGCTTGTGCAGACTATATGGTTGAATAGTGGGGAAACTCTATGCAACAGGAGACTGCAGTAAATATTTACATTTTATTTCCCACCAGTCCAACAGGTTTCAACAGTGTGAACGGCTACATCACCTGAACACGGTACTTCAGGAATGATAACAATCAGACTGTTTATTGCCACGTATACAGGATTGGCAGGTGATTTTAAAACATAGAGCACAATAATATGATGTTTTGCAAATATAAAAATGCACAGTAAGATTTGGTAAATAAACAAAGAACCACCATTAAAATGTCACTGTTTTTGATATGTGTGAGGTTGTGTTAAGTGCCCCAGTACACGCTAGTCACTTGTTATGACAGCACACATGATCAAATTGAGATTTTACTTTACATATATGTATGAAAAGCACAAGATATTTATTCATTGCACATTTCGGAATTGTGTATTTAGTTTTTGTTGTTTGTGAAAATGGAGACCTTTGTTTTTTAACCCCTATTTTAACCACTATTCTAAAACCCACCCCCACCCCAAATTAACATGATGGATGAAGTCTTTGCCTTTTTAATAGGAAATACTACAAATGGCACTACTTTTTATTTCTTGCGAATTCACCATTCAACTTAAAGTTTAAGTTAAGAAATACAAAACAAATTGTGATTTCAAGCAAATAATGCATATTTTCCAAATATCAGTCGGGGTTCTTTGACACAAAAATATTTGCTTAGGCCTACTCTCAAATAGAATAATACAATTAACGTTATGCCTATTTCTTCTCTACTTCTTAATCTCCACCATCTGTGTGGGCAGGGCAGGAAAATAATTTCCCTTTGATGGAAATAACAGATGAATCTACTGCTGAATTAATTGCGATGGCCAGTGTTGATGAATCTACTGCCCATCATGTTGAGTCAGCTATAGTGGAGGCAGTAATTACACTGTTCAGATCCGCAACGGATGACCGCTGTGCTTGTCACCAATTACTGAGACGTCCGTTTGAGTCGTCTCAATTGAGAAATAACAGAAAACACGGCCAGCAGGGGCGCTATCTGCTTTTTCCCGCTATCAATTCATCCACTGCATGTTCAATCCTTACGTCTAATGAAAGAGCAGTACAGATATTTCCGTGTGCGGGGCCCGCAGCAATATAGTAATAATAATATGTTATTTCCACCAGCCGAGATGCAGTACATCTTCTCCTGTCAATCAGAAACGGGGGTGGTGCGGTGGGAGTAAAGGCACGGCGTGCCGGCGGGAACAGGGCGGGACTTAGGACCCGTGGATTCATTTGTTGTGGAATAATAAAAGTTGGGCTTAACCGGGTGCTCGCGACGTGCTTCCCAGTGAGCGTGCGTGTGACCAGCCCCCCTCCTCCTCCTCCTCCTCCTCTACCGGGGCACATTGCAGTGGTCCAACTACAGACAGCTGTTCGGGGCGGTGTGCAAACATTCAGCCGTTGGGTGTCTGTCTTCGCTCTGCGGCTCCTCCGCACACACACCAGCGGCGGGTGGAGTGTCTGCCGGTCCGTCCGTGTTTCCCCCCCCCCACCCTCCCTCCCCCGGAAGAGAGGGGTGCGACACATGGGACACATCACAGGCCAGCAGCTGATTCCCGTCGCTCCTCTCGCGCAGAAGCCTCCCTGTTCAGACAACCGTAGGTAGAGGAACGAAGAGGCGCTCGCGCGTCCGAACCGGGACGTCCCCTCTGGACCCCCCGCCCCCCTCCCGACTGGAACCGCCGCGTTTGAGGGACTCCCAACCCCGGTGAGTGAAACTTTAAGGATCCGCCGCCGTGTGTATATATGAAGGGGAAGTGCTGCTCGTACAGCGCGCGTTTCATGGCCGCGTGTTCATTGTTATTCAGTGAACTGTTCATCGGAGCGCATGAGGATGTAGTGACTCCTCTGCACCTGCACGGGATTTAAATAAAACAAATGTTTTGCCGCTTAACACACACGCACACGCGCGCGCGATAATGTGCCATCCATTTGTGTCGTGCACCTGCTGCATCCTCACACCCCGCCGTGCTTTACAAACCGGGGACCTCTTTCCTCGCCTCGAGACGTCCTCCTATAATGTCTTCTAGTGTCTACGAGTTCAGCGGCGGACAGGGATGTGTGCTTTGACCGATATTAACTATAAAAACATTAACTACTACCATCATTTGTATACATGCAGTGATGCCAACAAAGGAGAACGCGATTCATGCATGTATACAGATATGCCTACTTCAACATTTATGAATTTATTAAGAGTTTATATTGTAACCTGACATGATGGTGCTAATACCTGTAAACTTGGTGGGTTGTTTTTATTGTATTTTGTGAAATTCTGTGGTAGCAGAAAGTCACCCAGGGTTTTTTTTTTTTTTTAATGTCTCCAAAAACCGGAAGAAGCTTTCACCGCTCTGCAAGGACTTTGTGTCTAATTTAAACAAGCCATGGCTTCCCCACGTCGGCCTCAAGTGGTGCTCATTTTAACCTGTTCACAAATGGTTTAATCCCTCATCCATGAGGCGCGGGGCTGAATGGCTTTTCTTTGAATTTATTTCAAGGACGACTTGAAAAGAAAGCAGCTCTCCAGTATTGCACATTTTTTGATGAATAAGAAAGGGAAAGTACATAAATGACATGCAACGAATGACTCTCCTCTTTGTTCCCGATCTCAAGCAGGGAGTCTGCGTGATGGACAATAAATCCATTTAACTCTCTTCACCCACTGCTATTTGACTGACGTGTGTGTGTGTGTGTGTGTGTGTGTGTTGTTGCTGAATTCTTTAACTTCCCCTCACGCGTACTTCCATTCTGTTTTGTGTTCAACTTTACGAGCACTAAAAGCAGAAAAGGGACACGCGGCCTTATGAGCTACTGTCAGCACTTTAAGCGAGATTTAAATGCTTCTGGGTCCTTGCGGCTCAGGACCATGTTGCTGCTTGGCATTCGTTCCTGTTGTACCAGCGCAGTTGCTGAAATCTTGCGGCATAATTGTGGTATACCCGGTTATGTGTGTAAAGAACAGACAACAAAGTGTTCCCAGAAACTTGCCAAGCATATATATATATATATATATATATATATATATATATATATATATATATATATATTTTTTTTTTTTTTTTTTTCTTTTGTCTTTTAAGGAAGCAGGTGCAATCCCACTGAACAGAAGGGTCTCCAGTCATTTTGACTCCTGTTTGCATCTTTACCGGTTTGCGTGGCGTAAATGAGCCACTCTGGCATCACTTCTGCTTCTCTGCCCACTTTTCGTTGCCGAGTGTGCTGACGGCTGTACCTCTTCTTCGCGTGGCCGTCCGCGATCGCACCGGTGCTGCGATCCAGCTCCCGGAAAAAGGGAACGTGGGAGCAGCAGGTAAATGGGCATTGTGTGTGTGTCTATAGCTTTACGTGAATGTGTATAGGTTTATGTTCTTACCAGAGTCTTTAATAAATGGCAATCCATTTTAACACTGAGGCCTGGATGTCATCCACCCGTATTATGTCAGGCAGCTAGAAAACAAACTGACAGCGTCTCTGCTCGCCGACTGCTCTGAGCTGAACGCTTCTCGCAACAGCGTTTCGGTTTCCGCTCCTTACACCAATTGTTTGTGACCACTACCTCGCTGTAGAGCCAAATTCAATCAGAAAGAAGTGCTTTTTCTTTTATAGCCAATTGACGACATCCTCATATTTGTTTAGTGTGGAACCTCTGGATGTACAGGTGTGCATGCAGTATTTAGAGCATTGAATTCGGCTGCAAATACCTTTTTAAAAAAAACCTATAAATATATATATATATATATATATAGAAACTCTGTAAACGTTCCCTTCAAGCGTTGTAGGACCACTTGTAATAATGGACTGAACCGTCTTTTTCCAAACTGGGGTGTTAGGCGCTCTGTCTCGTGGCATCCACAGCGATGAGCTCTTCATTTGACGTCTTTGATATTACATCTGGTACAAACCGGTACCGTCGACCGTCCACCTCTTCCTCTGTGCGCTGAGCCTTCAATTCCCAGAGGGTCTCTGGGTGTGTTTGTGGAATTGCTCCGGTGTTCTTTCCTGATGCTTTAACACAAAGCTTTTCGTCTGAGTTGCTGGTTCAGAATAATTTGTAATGCTTGTCATTATTTGTGGAGGAATTTTCATACTGCAAATATTTCTGTGTATTGCAGAATCCCTCACTGCACCATTCGGGTGAGCCCTACCATTATAACCGCGGGGCGCCGCCCGTATCCAAAGACATTTACCCATCTTAACACCATAAAAAAGGGAATATTAGCCCAGCGTTTTGGAGGCTTCACCCATGCTATGGATTAAAACAAGTCGAGAGATTTCGGATTTTTGTGTTGCAATGTTGCTCTGCAAGTCTACCACTGTGGTCCAGACCAAAATAATGATTGGACTTGTTGACATGAAATGTTGCTCAGACATTGTTATTGTCATACGTGTCAGTCATGCCCCACCGGGTTTCACTTTTGCACCTAGTCTTTACTGGGGAAACAACTGTTTAACAGGAAATGACTGATTTTAGTCCGAGCAGAGTATGTTAATGAACTCCGTAAACACAAAGCTAACGTTTCTTGAGGGGACAGAAACTGCTCACTACCTTTTTATTATGATTTACAGCAGCTGTAGTCACATTCATTTCCTAACTTCAGGCATACTGTAAAACACATTTTTGTTTCTACGACCTGAAAGAATATTGAATAAGTTCAAAATATAAATTTGGTACCGTCCGATGTTTCAAACATCTTGTCCCTGTTTTTGTTGTCCTGTGGGTTGTAAAACGTTTCCTTTTCAAGGGGATGTCATTTAGTCTCCATGCAGGGGGTCTACATCGAGAACAAAATGCTGTACAATGGTTATAGAGAATGGGCTCAGAGAGACAAAGGCCGCTCATAAGCAACACTTGATCTGTGTATGAATGCCATCAAAGTGTGTTTAGACTTTAAATGTGAACCGCTTCCAGTTTCAGTGGCAAGTGTAATATAATGGATGTTTTTAAATAGCCACTGTGCGGCTTTAGCAAAGCAGTTTTTTCAGAGTTGTGTTGGGTGGGTTACGTAACACAGATGACCAACTATTAAAACTAACCTGTTGGTGTACTGCACACAGCCCAAAGACAAACCTGCGATGAAAACAATTCAATCAATATTTAGAGGCCAATTGCGCCATTGTGGATCAATAATGATGGCAGCACACCAGCTTTTCTGGAGTGGAAAACCAATTCTGAATCCCCGGTCATGCAACACTAAATGGATGTTTAAATCACCTACCATTATTAAAGGAAAGAAAAAAAATACAACTTATTCCAAATATTTTAACTGCATTGTTGCATACATCACATCAGAATATATTGTCACACTAGCTTGGTTAGCGCCGGCCTGTCAGCATTGTTATTGTTACGGCCTGTGATGAATTTAAGCATTCAGCAAAGCTACTCTACGTCCCACCAAACACGACTCATGGTCGTGTTAAAATACTTGTTACGGACAGAAGGTCACTGTGGGATGGGAACCCTGCTCTAATGGAATGGTGCCTCTCGTACCACTATTCCAGATCTCATTCAAATGTCACACGTTAATAGAAACATAATTGGGAGTCCAATATTTCCTGGTGTTCGTAGAGGCCAGAGACATGGTCTTTATTTTGGGGAGCTGTGCCAGGCCCAACAACTTTTTTTTCCCAGTAGTCCTGGTTATTCCCCCCACGGGCACCAAGGAATCTGGGGGGGGGGGGGCTCGGATCTGGGATTTCGCCTCATCCGAGCACTTTCTCCCTGTTCTCGTTAGCCAGTTTGTGAGTTAGTGACATCAGTGTGAATGAAACGACCGCTGGGAACCTACACCAATTTATGTCTGCAGGACCGCAGCCCCAAGAAGTAATAAAGTAGACAAATAAATCTATTCAGCAGGAGTCATCTTTACGACAGTAAAGTCTCTTTTTATAAACTCATTATCTCACTAGAAACAAATACAAAATGTCAACAAAATAAAACATGTAAGGAATGAAGGACACAGACGTCTGACAGTATCTGTCTGTCTGAGGTTTTCCTGAATGCTTCGTCTCAACCAGCAGACACATTTACAATCGTTTCAAAGAAAAAGACTGCAGACCGCTTCTGTTTCAGCCTGTTGGATGAGAGATTACAGATAAAGCTGATTTGAATTAGGTTTCACTTTTGTTTACATGTTTGTGCTTGTTGAACAAATGCGTTGTTTTTTTTTTACTCCAGTAGCGAGCGTGGTAGCGGTTACCTCAAGTGTCCTTCACTTGACCTGATTAACTGAACGTTCTGCAACGTGCGTGCGTGCGTGCGCGTGTGCGTGCGTGCGTGCGTGCGTGTAGAGGAGCTTAGCCCCAAAAAGCATTTTAGCTTTAGCGACGGGGGCCGTGTAATGTTGATTTTTGGTGTGCATCCCTACACCTTCAGGACGTACCAAAGCGAAAGGCTCTCCCTGGAGCCGAGTGTTGACTTGATCCTCTCTGGGCTGCTGTAGAAACATGCCGGCAGAACATAACGTACTCCGTGTAAGAGGATGTAGGTACAAATGGCTTTTTTGAAGCTAATGCTGAATGATCCTTAGGGTCAGTTGATTGTACACTGACTGTTACATAGTGATGAATACTATTCTCCATCTTCGTCAGTAAATCCCCCTGAATGTCACACTCGGTTACTTTACGGTGTAAAAGCTGAATCTTCTCCTGAATGCCCTGAGGATGTTCTTCCCTGTGTGTTCCCAGAGCCCTTTCTGTTGTTTCCATGTG